GTAAAGTCGCGAAACACGGTGTTTTTCCATTGTTCAAAGCCGCCGGAGAAGTAGGCTCGCTAAAGCGGCGGGTGCGGATCCGTCTGGTTGGATGAGAGACATCGTAGCACTTTTGAAAGTGGGGTTGCCGAAAAAGTGCACGCTGGTGTGGCGCGAAGCACATTTCGAAGCACAATGATCAAAACACCTCATTGTCGGAGCACTTTTGGAAGTTGAGCTGTTCAGAAAGTGCACGCCGCTGTGGCGCGAAGCACGTTTGGAAGTGAAAATGGTAAAAGTACCATAGCTTCGGAGCACTTGTGGAAGTTGAGAGATTGAACATTTGGAAAACACACCACATTCAGTCCACTTTTGGACGTTCAGGCAAGGGATTCTGCACCTTGTCAAAAGGAAGCCAAACGTGTGGATTTTTGCAGCATTTCCAAAAACGATGGCAGGCGTGGGACGGTTGAAGAGGATCTGCAAAGATGCATTTCGCGCGGCACGCGCAGTACAAGAGACATATCCATCCGAGATGTTAGGAGGCCCCGGCGCTGATTTCCTGACAGGGGTTGCATTTTGGAGCGTCAGATCTTCATGTTTGCTAAGATGATTTTGCGTGACAGGTGCGGCACTTCGTACGACCTATTTCGTGACAGGCTCCGTACTCTCCTAGACGGCAAAATCACAAAACGCATTGGTACGAGGCCGTCAGGTCTACACTCCACTTTCCATGTTCGAAGGCAATCTTGCACAATTGCTTCGTTTTTTGATGTTGTCACATTCAAAAATTGAGGAAGTCTCTCACAATTCCCCTTTTTGAGGAAGCCTCTCAGAATTGCTTCCTTTCAGATACGATAGATCGATAGATCAATAGATCGATGGATCGATCGATAGATCGATAGATAGATCGATAGATCGACGGATAGAAAGATAGGAATAGATAGGAATAGATTAGATTAGATTAGATAGACTAGATAGATAGATTAAATACATAGATTAGATAGAGAGACTAGATAGATATATTAGAAAGAAAGATTAGATAGATAGATTAAATAGATAGATTAGATTTGATAGAATAGATTAGATTAGATAGATTAGATAGATTAGATAGATTAGATAGATTGGATAGATTAGGTAGATTAGATAGATTAGATAGATTAGATAGATTAGATTAGATTAGATTAGATTAGATTAGATTCGATTCGATTAGATTAGATTAGATTAGATTAGATAGATAGGTAGATAGATAGATAGATTAGATAAGATAAGATAAGATAAGAGAAGATTAGATTAGATTAGATTAGATAGATAGATAGATAGTTAGATAGATAGATAGACAGATAGATAGATAGATAGGTAGATAGATAGATAGGTAGATAGATAGGTAGATAGATAGATAGATAGATCGATAGATGGATAAATCGATAGGATAATAAAGGATAAGATAAGATAGGATAAGATAAGATAATGTAAGATAAGATAAGATAACATAAAATAAGATAAGATAGATAAGATAGATGATATAAATAAGATAGATATGATAGATTAGATAGATTAAAAAGAAAAGAATAGATAGATTAGATAGATTAGATACATTAAGTCGATTAGATAGATAGACAGATTAGATGGATTATATAGATTAGATAGATTAGATAGAACGATGAATACGATTAGATTAGATTAGAATAGGTTAGATAGATAGATCGATAGATAGATAGATGAGATTTGATAAGACAAGATAGGATATGATAAGATAAGATAAGATAAGATAGATAAGATAAGATAAGATAAGATAAGATAAGATAAGATAAGCTAATGTATATAAGGTAAGATAACATAAGATAAGATAAGACAGATAAATAAGATAAGATAATATAAGATAAGATAATGTATATAAGGTAATATAAGATAAGAAAAGATAAAATCATATAATATAGATAATGTAAGAACAAATAAGATAAGATAATAAAAGATAATATTAGATAAGATAAGATTAGATAGATAGATAGATAGATAGATTAGATAGTCAGATATATAGTTAGATATACCGATAGATGGAAAGATAGATAGATAGATAGACTAGATAGATAGATAGATAGATAGATAGATAGATAGATAGATAGATAGAAAGATAGATAGATAGATAGACAGACAGATAGATAGATAGATAGATAGGTAGATAGATAGGTAGATAGATAGATAGGTAGATAGATAGATAGATAGCTAGGTAGATAGATAGATAGGTAGATAGATAGATAGGTAGATAGATAGGGCGAGAGAGATAGAGAGAGAGAGAGAGGCACAGAGAGAAGGAGACAGCGAGAGGTAGAGGGAGAGAAAGAAAGAAAGAAAGAACGAAAGAAAGAAAGAAAAAAAGAAAAGAAGAAAGAAAGAAAGAAAGAGAGAGAGAGAGAGAGAAGGAAAAGGAGAAACAGAGATAGAGATAGAGAGGCTCAGAGCTGTTCGCTCTGACATCCATGCGTCACAACAACAAACCGCTTCTATAGGTTTCCTATGATTGAAACGTCCGCCACCGCCTTGTGCGGTGCACATCATCCCAAAGATGGACATCGTTGCCAATATGTGAAGCGGAGGGCTGCCAAAATGATGGTAAACTCCCAGTGTTAAGTCAATGGTCTATATAATATGAATCATAGATTTTCTGATTCAAGTACGGAGTTTAGCGTCATTTTCCCATTTAAAGTTGCTAATTGGGGTGTACCACATATTTTCACTCTGCCGTGGATGGCACCCAAAAAACACATGCAGAAACTTTTTAGGTGTGATCCACAACGCCATTTTTACCAACCGCAAACCATTGTGGGGCTATGAAATCAATCATCCCAACAACAAGACCACACAAAGGTTATTATATATATATGGAGGTTTCCATAAATGGGGGGTACCCCAAAATAGATTGTTTATTTCATGGAAAAAAAACCTATTAAAATGGAATGATTTGGGGGTACCTCTATTTTAGGAAACCCCCATGTATATATATATAGATACCCTCTGGTAAACGTTTACATAACTATGGAAAGATCCACCATTTTATAGCTGGGTAAATCAACTATTTCAATGGCCGTTTTCAATAGCTATGGAAAGGGAAAATCCATGAAAATCCACTATTCATGGTTAAATTACCACTATACCAATTAAAGATGGTTAAATTACCACTATACCAATTCATAGTTGAAAATCCACTATGTTAGTCATTACCAGAGGGTTGCTATGCTTTGGAGCATGGATGGTGGATCCCAGGAAAAGATGATCAACCCCGCGGACACAGATCTCGCAGATGACAAGAAAAACCCATGGGTTCCGGGGACCAAGTCATGGCCCAAATGGAGGGGATGATGATGAACCATGGGACTTGGAGGTATGAGCAGCGATAAATCACATACCCTCTGGTGAAATGACATTCACAGTTTGCCATGGTATAGATGGCCCATTTATAGATGGTTTACCTGGGTTTACCGTTCTAAAAATGGGTGGATCTTTCCATGGCTATGTTAAATAACCAGAGGGTATTTCACCTTGGCAATCCCAAATCAGGATGGAAAGCTCTCCACAAGACATGATACCACAACTATCAGAAACTATCCCTATCCCTGGAAACCCTTCATGACTTCATGACAGTGATCTGAGAGTAGAGGCACCAAACGGGGACTTTAACTATCGCAACTCTCAAGATGTGTCTCCGGGATCCTTTCGGGACTGTCTCCCACCGTGGGGATTGAACGTAAAACTGATCTTGGAGTCTTAGACTAGCCAGTAAACCTGTCCTGTCACAATTTGTTTGAGATTCTGCATCAAACGATACCGAAAATACGCATTGTCAATTGGACATACCCTCTGGTAAACTAACATAACTACTCCGAACCGTTAAAATCGACCAATTTAACAGAATTGTGTCAAATCTCATTGGGACGCCGTTGGATCAGGAAGTCAAATAAGTTGACCAAAAGCAAGGTCAACCCCAATGGGACGCCGATGTACGAAAAACTCTGTTTTGGCAAGTTTTGCTGTGTGAAAGATGAGGAAACACCTTGTGGACGCAACTCCCAAAACATCTTCAAAGTGGTATTAAATACAACAAAAAACACTCATGTCATATTGGGACGCCAGTGATTCACCACATGTAGATTTTACCTGTTGGATTCTGTAGGGACACGGTTAGCTGTTTCGAACGACGTCCGAACGACGTCCGAACGACGTATCGAACGACGTCAAAGGGTATCAAAACCCAGACCTGTGGATTCATTGTCCTTTCATGTTCCTTTCATTCTCCTTTCATTTCCTCTCATTTCCTTTCATTGTCCTTTCATGTTCCTTTCATTTTAATTTCGAGCCATTCCAAATTTGATCACCCGTTTTTGGGGTCTAAAGACGTCTAAAGTTGATCCATTCCAAAGTGGGTCACCCCCAAAACGCATTTATTTACTGTCTCTGGGGACGGATGAAAATCCGAACGCTGAAAGGTATGATTTTGGTGGGCTGAAAGTCGTGGTCCAACTTAGACCCCGTGGAACCATCATGAACCATCGGTAAATTTCGAGCGTCTCATTGCACTGGTAGATACACTCTGGTAAAATTAACATAACTATGGAAAATCACCATTATTAATGGGAAAATCCACTATAAATGGTAAGTTTCAATAGCTATTTTGACATAACCAGAGGGTACAACTTCCGTTTCACTGGCGCCCCCGGCAACAAAAATCTTCCCATCACTGGCGCCCCAGCCAAGATTCCGTGGAACCCAACACATCGGTATCCCCAACTACGATTCGCCCGGAAATGGTGATGTTTAATATTATATTAATATGTTCATGTGTCATGTAATAATATAATATAATATGATATAATACAATACATCATATAATGTAATGTAATGTAATGTAATATAATACTGTAATATAACATAACATATTTGTATTATATTATATATATGCTGAATTATACTACGTATATATATATATATACATGTGGAGATTTATGGCATTGCCTTTATCACATTTAGTCTTGCAACAACCCCAGCTCAGCCCAGCCCGCCCGGCGGAAGAACGAGGGGCGATATGCAAGAAGCCCCGGCAGCAACAGAGCTAGACCCATGGGTGCGGAGTACTGAAACGAACTCTCCTGCACAGAGGTTGTCTACAAGATAGGCTGAAACCATGGAAGACGTATGGAAGAAGATGATGATGATGATGATGACGACGACGATGATGATGATGATGATGATGAATGATGAGCTGGATAATGTGGCCGAAATAGAAATGTTTGAGGATTCGTTGCTACCCAATATTACCCGACGTTCTTGCACATCATCGGAAGAATCAGAGACTTTCAGAGGCGGCATCACATTGCGGATGGCTAACTCTCCAACATTTCAACCCATAGGATCCATGGTGCTGCTATATATGGTAACATTTACCATCAATATACGCCAGTCATGTTAGCATACAATTATACCAGCACCATGGATCCTATGGGATATGGAAAACAAATCAAAACAGTAGATTCCGTGTTAAAAGACTTCAACGGAATTGCATCAAGATCCACCATCTAAACAGTAGATTATTTCCCTAGGGAAACTACTGGTTGTCGTTCATTAATAACTGTTACATTATATACTGGAGGATTGGAGGATGGCAATATATCGAACTGCCTATTAGCAGTGATTGTTTAATTCAAATATTTCTTGCGTCTAAGTCAACATGTTGTGATCACATTCATGGTAGCATTCTGTTTGTATTGCTGAAAATCCCCTTCACTGCAGTCAAGTTGAAAGATATGATGGTACTTAGGAACAACAACATCACCTAAATCCATGACTACCCGGGGCCGCTTTAAATATCCTACCAGTATATCAAAGATAACAGATTTTCTTGTCCCCTTTGACTTCCTTGACGCTTCGATCTATGTTCCACCCCAAAGCTATGAGAAATATGGGGACCTTTGGGATGAGCTGTTTCACTAGCGACCTGCGAAGATGTTTCCCTATCGCCATAATTTTTATAAGCCATTTTTATGAGGGCCATTATTCCAACCATCTGAAAAAGATCTTCCATCCACGGATGTCCGGGGTCGTCCGATCATCGTCCGGGGTCGTCCGATGTCCTGCTCAAAAAAGGCAACACCATTGGCTTCATCCAAGACCAAGTGCAAATGCCTCTGGGCTGATCATCAGTGATCAAGCCCGGTGGGCCCATGGGTCCCTAGCTTCGTTAAGTCGAGGAAAGCAGAAAGAGGTGTTGACCAAGGGGGAAACTCTTGGATTATGTCAGTGAATCGGGGTTTAAGATGGTTTAAGTGAAACTCTTAAGACCGGACACCATGTTGTTTTTCCATCTTTTGGGAGCTTGTGAATTCATCATGTATCATCAGCTCCAAAAGTGAAAAAATCCCTGAAAGATAAGTGCGATCTCAGGGAACAAAAAATAGGGGGTGTATGTATTATATAATTTAAACATATTTAAACATATACACATAATGGCTATATATACTTTTCCGCACACAACCTTCACCAAGTTTATGGGGACAGAATGGAATAACCACTTGGTAGTGCCCAACTGGTGAAGGGGATGCACTCTCTGTCAGTTTTCATATAGCCTTGGATAAACCAAATGTGTTTTAATGGCAAAACATCTATAAATGCGCCTTTACACCCTAGCGAATTGTTGGGGCCACATCCCAACCAAGCGCGGCACCATAATATGATTTTGGAATCTAGATGTTGCCATAATTCTCCAAATGGCAAACTTTTTTTTGAAAATGCTAGATGTCCACTGAAATATGTTTCCTTTTATGACCAACTCGGCAACTCGGTTTCGTTTCGTGTCGCCAACTCGGCCCCCTCAATGCCTCCCCTCTGGCAACATCGGAATCTGTCGTCCTGGTCCGCTGAACTGGTCCGGGGATGTCCGGGGATGTCCGGGGTAAGACCCGCACCCATGCCGTGGCCCATGGCTCAAGCCCCATTCTAGCGATCGAAAAGTTCAACAGTTTGTCAAAGTCAATTAGTGGTACATGAATTGGTAAATGACTGTGAAAAAAATCTTTTTGGTTATATACTAACGGTTACTACAACTCATGCGGAAGCGTTGGGATAGTTCGAAATGTGGGGCTTCCACAGGAAGCCACAGTTCCACCCAAGCCGAGGTCAACAGCAAGAGGTTGAGATTTTCAGTAGGCTTATCTCAACCACTATTGTACCATAATCAGCAGATAAATCATTATTTAACGGTACAATAATAATGGTACAATTAGGTAATGGTAATCATGATTTATCTGCTGTAATTATCATTATTGTACCACTAGGTGATTACCATTAGGTCTTGTACATTACTGTAAAAAACATGAATGATTATCACCATTATCACCCGGCGGCTAGCAATCTTAGGTAGATTTACAGTACATGATTGTTTATCATTTACCCTCTGGTAATTTAACATAGCTATTGAAAATGGCCATTGAAATAGTGAGTTTTCCCATTAAAAATTGTGATTTTCCATAGTTATGTTAACGTTTACCAGAGGGTAATGTTGATTATTTAATGTTAAACCTAATGGTAAAACAACTCTCTTGGGGATGTCATCCCCACCGCCTGGCGATGGATTGATAGGCTATGAATCCCAACGTATCCCAGATGCGAATTATGGTGCTGGAATTTCTGAATCCCAACAAAAAAACAGGACATTAACCATATATTAACCATATATTACCATATATTAACCATATATTAACCATTATTAAGAGTATATTAACCATACGTTAACCATATATTGTGGAAGGGACACTATATAACCAACCAGGATTGTCCAAAATCACCCAGTGTTCCAACATGTTCCAACAATGCCGCGCCTGAAGTGCAGCACGAGTATATCGCGTCTGCCACAGTAGCTGGAGATAGCTGGAGAGCAGGCCCCGTTTTCAACGGAGAAACACGGAAAGAGGTGAGGCTTCAAATGAAACGTCGAAAAATGCAAGCTGAAGCACATCCAAATGAATTATGCATTTAATGGGATCTAACCATGAACCAATGGGATGTTCTAGATATTTATTGGCTGTGTCTGAAAATGGGATAGACCTTCCAAAGTGACCAATTCATGGGGAAAATGATGAGAATCCGATTTAGGGTAATTTTCTATTTTCAGACACACCATGACAAACCCACATTTTGAGATTAGTTGCAGTCCGACTTTTGTTGTTTGCCCTGACATTCTCAGATGTTGAGAGTATCATGGTTTCTATCTGAGGACTTCCAATATCATTACCCTCTGGTAAACTAACGTAACTATCGAAAATCACCATTTTTTATGGGTAAATCCACTATTTCAATGGCCATTTTCAATAGCTATGTTAGTCATTACCAGAGGGTATGTGTAGAATTACGCGCTGTGAATCACTGGATGTTCAGAGGCTGCTATGTGGCAAGATGTGGCAAGCCATAACTATCACCGCTATCAAATGCTCACTTTTAAAAACATGTCCATTCTTCGTAGAGGTGTCAAAAACAGATGGCTTAAGTATGCCAGACACTGCTGAATTAAGTGAAAAGTGCACATATATTCATATTATATATATACCGTTAATACCCGTGTGGCTCCAAACTCATCAGATGAAACTCGAAACTCGATTCTCCGATACGCTTCATCTTTTGATCCCCAAACGAGTCATGCAAACGAAGGGCACGTCCGAACAACCAGTTGGCTTCGGGCAGGTTTTTTTTTTCCATCATTGGTCAACATTCATCAAATATCCAAATGAATGTAACCCAGGAGATTCAACCCTTGAACATCGGCAACAAATATATATATATATATTAACATCATTAACATTCCAACAAAAACATGCAGAAAGGGAACAGATATAGTGATAACATGCGAACATTTTCACATGTTCTATATGTTTGGGCAGTTGCTATAAGCTTAAACTTAAACCTAAGTATAAGATACAGTAGTTGATTTGCAGCCTCACCAAGTTATGAAGAACTGCACGGGCAAACAGCACGGCAGTGGCGAACAGCCTTCTGCACAAGACAAGATATGCCATGCTGGTGGTCCGAAGAGTCCGAGCCATTCATTCCCATACACTGGCCGTTCAGAACATCATATTTAGCAAGGAATCAAAGACTAACAAGTCATCTGTCATTGCCCCATGGCCCAGCATCTTTAAAAGGCCTATATAGCAAGCTATACTGTTCACAGGACATGTATTTGTTTTTCCCCACCTGCCAGGTGAGGGTTGTTAGATTTTATCAGAGCTGTTGTCCTCCTCCTCCTTCTCCTCATCCTCCGCCTCCTCCTCCAGTTTCTCCTCGACCATGTCTGCATCAACTTCCACCTCCACTTCCGCCTTGCCAACTCTTCGCCAAGCTCTTCGCCAACTTCCGAGCTCAGTGCGCACTGCTGGACCTCAACCTGGGACCTTCCCAGCTCAGTGCGCACCGCTGGACCTCAACGGCCAGATAGAATGCCAGAAGATATGCCAGATAGAATGCCAGAAGATATGCCAGATAGAATGTTAAAAGATATGCCAGATGGAATGCCAGAAGATATGCCAGAACATATGCCAGAAGATATGCCAGGTAGAATGCCAGAAGATATGCCAGAACATACGCCAGAAGATATGCCAGGTAGAATGCCAGAAGATATGCCAGAACATATGCCAGAAGATATGCCAGGTAGAATGCCAGAAGCTATGCTAGAAAGAATGCCAGATAGAATGCCAGAAGATATGTCAGATAGAATGCCAGAAGATATGCCAGATAGAATGCCAGAAGGTATGCCAGATAAAATGTCAGATAGAATGCCGGAAGATTTGCCAGTAACAAAACGTATAGATGTCATGGTGGGGATAACTCGAAGTAAAGTAATTTGTTTTTTTTTGAGTCAGGTCAATGTTTCATATTTCAACACACCCAACCTTGTGGAACTGTGCCAAGTTTACAGTTTACCTTCTCATTTCATGGGTCCAACATGCGACCAGAAAGCCATGTGTAAAATGGATTACACACTAATTTGATGATTATTCCTGATCGCGAATCGCTGCAGTAGACTATTCTGATCCTTTGGAAAACGATACGATTTGACATGGGTATGGGTCAATACCTATAGATACATTTTAGTGGGATGAACATCCAAGTACCGGCTATTTTGATGTTCACCAGGGGTACAAGGTTTTGACACACTGCCACATCTGTGAGACACTGCCGCGCACTGCCGCGGTGCAGAATGGACCAGGATTTAGTAGTCTGACGCGTGGCGCAGCCCGGCCCTAGTTCCCCAAGAAGCCCAATGGACTCGGAGACTTGAGCCAGAATTGCTGCAAAAAACCAGAGATTTAAAGATGTCCAAAACTCTTCCTGAAACAAAATGTGAAATTCGTGCGAAAAAATTGCTGAATCATCAAGTATTGTGAAGTAATCCCAGTATCCCAGTATGGCATCTTGAAAAAATAATTTCAAGATTAAATGAGTAAAACATTCAGCCCCCAAATATTCATCTTCTACTTCGACCACTTCTAGCCATTCCCAGTTACTTCGATATCGGGATTGTCATGCCCCATCTACTCATAGGAGAACAAGCCAAGAAGCTGTGCCCAAAGACCTTAAAGATGAACAGAACCCCCCCAATATCATTGGATTGGTTTTCTTGGGAAAATCTAAACCGGAAACCCATGGGCTTTACATCGTTTTTACCATTAAATCTGTGTTTTTTCTATAAATTTTCCCGTAAACCAATCCAATGACAATATGTGTACAGTATGGTACAGCATGGGTCAAGAATCGAACACCATGACAACCACCACTTCCTTGGTTGCTTTGCTAGCACCGACTAGTACTATACACAAGGTAGTGCCCCACAGTTCGCTAATTTTGTGTCTAACAAAAACAACTATTAGGCTTTAAGGCGGCAAATATATATATATATATAATTATATATATATATATCGAAGTATATTAACTTAGATGCCTTGGTAAAGCAAACTGATATATATATATATATATCATGAGATATCGAACAACTGTTAGATGTCTTGATGTCTTTGCCATCAACCATCAACCAACCATCTCTGGTGGAGTTTTCACCGTTTTCGCCGCACCTGGATGAGCCAATGACTTCCTCAGTTTCATGGGATCCCAACGGTTTCGCTGAAAGGTCAACAAGAAAAACGATGATTGAAGAAGCATGAAACCTATGGGGGATGAGAATGATGAGAACTAACTTAAAACTTGGCTTTGGCAACTAACAAACATATAAATCTGGTGATTTAAAAACCATTATATAAAAGTGATTTAAAAACCATTACCATCTGGTTATTTAAAATAGCAATGGAAAATGGCCCATAGAAATAGATTGTTTACCTGTTAAAAATGGTGATTTTCCATGGCTATGTTAAATAACCAGAGGGTAAAAACCACCCGAAAGTGATTATAGCCGTGCATGCCAATCTGGGATAACGGATTCATCTTAAACGTAGAGCATCGCTGTGGAGACAGCAAACCGTCCGAGTCCGCTGCCGGGTGAGAATCCATTCTAATCAACAGTAAACGTTTACATAACTATGGAAAGATCCACCATTTTTAATGGGTAAATCAACTATTTCTATGCCCTTTTTTAATAGCTATGTTAAATTACCAGAGGGTAATCAATGGTAACTGGAGGAAATCTTCAGCCAGGACTCATGAACTTTTGCTTCACCTCACCCAAGAGCCAGTCGAAGGACTGTTTGGACAGCTTCTCCTGTGGCTATCCCTGGATTTATCATGGATCGAGCACGGGGGCCAAGAAAGATACAAGAGTGTTTCAATCATGTCATAGAGTCATAGATCCTATTTTCTTCACACTTTACAGGTTTGCCACTGTTCTGGCTACTTTGAGCTTGCTACTCATCATTTCAACATGTCTAAATGTCCAAACATCCACAATTAGTCAACGTAGTCAGCTTGGCTTACCATGATTCCAACACGCAGCGTCTCCATAGTATGGGTTGGAACCACAAGTGCCTCAGGTAGAATTTCCCCAATCAGAATGAGCGCCCTATATTGATAACACGCTGTAATTCAATACTAAAATAGTCTAGTTTGATTTGGGGATGCCCCCATGACTTAGGAACTCTCCGTTTAATTGGTATTTTGGAGAAAACTTGGGGGACATGAAAACGAACCTTGATAGGCAGCTTTGGGGGGATCTCCAGATTTTATCCTCATATAGGTTGTCTCCTCATGTCTCCTCATATTTCCCATTGATGATAATCATGTGTCCCATCTATTGTTTCTCCATATAGTTTCCCCGATTAATTCATCATGATTTCACAGAAACAAAGAATCACGATCATTTCTCGATATCAATCATCAACAATATCCATAGATATACATAATAGGTCATAGTAGTATAACCCATAGAATATATGATATATGGATATATCATGATATATCACACATAGAATATATCCATATAGAATCATCAACAAGATCATAATAGGTGTATATATCATACATAGGTCACAGGGATTCATCCTCCCAAGTCGTTGCGAAGCTCCTTCTGGACGATCTTGCGAGAGGCTAAGGCGCATCTCAAGTGTGCGTTGAGAATCACCTGAGATTTACGGATCGCCTGAACAACCCCCAGGAAGTGGAATTGGTTGTACCAGCTGAGGGATTTCATGGGGATAATATATATATAATATATATTATATATATATATATTATATAATATATAGAAATATATAATATATGTATACTGTATGTATATATATATATATGTGACGATATAACCATCAATGGGGACATAACTATGATATAACCATTAAAAAAAGGAAAATAACCCTAATTATCACCATCTGGATTGCTAAGTTCACACACATTGCCTTGGTTAACCGTTAGCTTCATTGAGAATATAAGATGAGGATACAACCATTGTATTCATGGCTTTATAAACCATCTTGTAATTGGGGTGCTCGCGCATTAAATCCCATTAAACCCAGTTAAACCCCAGTTAAAGCCTAGTTAAACACCAGTTAAGCCCTAGTTAAACACCACTTAAACCCCAGTTAAACCCTAGTTAAACACCATTAAACATCAGTTAAACCCCAGTTAAACCCTAGTTAAACACCATGAAACACCAGTTAACCCCCATCAAATATCCCATTCAATCCCATTCAATCCCATTAAACACGAGTTAAATCCCAGTTAAATCCCAACCCGCGCCTTGGCGTTGTCCTCCACCTCTCGGCCAATGGTGTCCCCTTCCGCAATGGCTCGGGTCACCTTAAAAGGCAAAACCCGTCCCCAAATGTGGTGCCCCTTCAAATAGCTGGTGAATGGATGAGCTCAACCCAACCCCCACTAAAATATGGTAAATTCATAGGTTTTGATCCAGCAAATTGTTTCAGAAAATGGATTTAATATGATCTAATCCCTTTGGAAATGACATCCTTTTGGAGTATTCAAATGGGTATCTCTCCTTATTTATAGACTGGTGGTCAACATTAATCCAGGCACATTCACCACAGCCATAGGTCCTATAGGTGTGTTGCTTAAGAGCAAGGGATCCCCAAGTCATGATGACGACTGGATGATTTGGGGGTACCCACATGACTTAGGAAACCTCCAAAAGCAAAAGGATCCAACCATTGAACAAAACACCAAAAAGATTTGGAACGTGCGAGGATCTACGGCATTTCTCGTGATTTATCTCCCACCCAAAATTGAGATTTCTCCAGTAACAATGCCGACTTGAGCAACACAGAAGTTGGATATAACAAACAATAATGAGATCAATTCAAGAAATAATTAGGGCTGAACATCACCAATGCTTGCGATAGCACAACGGATTTGAACCTTCGCAACAAAAACCCATGGGCCAACATTGCCGTTTTGCCGCCCTCCGTTGATCTCCATGGCAACGGACCGATGATACCCAGCGGGTGGGCATAAAACATACATCCCTCAGAGGCTTTTCTTTTTCATCACCGAAAATATCCATGGCCATGACTCAGGAACCAACAAAAATTGGAGGTACCTACTATTAATATAAGGCCTATCTATTTTTCAGGCCTAAATTTCAGGGAATATCCCCACAATTCATATGGCCAAAGGTATGGTACAGTACCTCCATTTTAGGATCCTGAAATTCCCATTGATCATATGGAGGCTATGTCAGCTGGTTGTCCTATGAGGACAGCCAAACCATGATGAATTGCAAAAAAGGTTCACGAAACTATCCAATGAACGTTCCCTCCAAGTTTCTATAGTTTCCTGTTGTGATTTATCTTGTTTATCTTGACAAATACTGGGCTAATCCTTCAAGTTGGGAGATGCCGAAAAAACTTCGTCGGGCCCCAGTATGATCCACCGAGTAATTCAGGTGACCGACCCTCAAGCCCCCTGGCGCCAGGTCCGAAGCCCAGGTACTTCCAGCTCCTTCAAGAGGTTCTCCACCTTCGCGGCAACCTCCACTGGAGAATACCTCGTTCAGAACTCTTGGCAACACTGCGAAAAACATTTCCAACCCAATGCGAAAAACATGACATGTGTTGTTGGTGCTAAATGTGCTAAACCATTCATTTTTCAGGAAAAAGTCAAGGTTCTTTTGTGGGACACGCCTTTTTACTGCAGGTTCTGTGACCAATTGCCATCCAACAACAAGAGATCAAACGACCACGTACCTAGAGGTGTCTAGACCCTCCGAGTTCAAAGATAGCTATGTTACTCCATAATTCTGGTTCATTTACCCTCTGGATTTTGACTAACATAGCTATAGATGCTATAGAAAATCACCATTTTCTTAATAGGTAAACCATCTATAATAATAGAAAATCACCGTTTTTTATAGGTAAACCATCTATAATAATAGAAAATCACCGTTTTTTGATAGGTAAACCATCTATAATAGAAACTCACCGTTTTTTGATAGGTAAACCATCTATAATAATAGAAAATCACCGTTTTTTATAGGTAAACCATCTATAATAATAGAAAATCACGGATTTTTTATAGGTAAACCATCTATAATAGAAAATCACTATGTTTTTTTATAGGTAAACCATCTATAAATGGGTCATTTTAGTCATTGTCCATAGCTTTTTGTCTCTTTACCAGGCCGGGTATCGCCTGGAAGGATCCCACCGATCCCGCCGATCCCGCCTCTCATCCGCACGGGAGCCATCCTCTTGGTGGATCCTCTGACGAGCACGATCCAACAGCCTGGTGAGGCTTTTGGACGCTTTTTGCAGGTCCCTGTTAGGTTCAACCTAGAAATCATGGGGAATCATAGGAAAGTGTGGGGAAATAGTGATATACTGTGCTCTGGTTGGTGGTGCAATAACCATCTTGAAAAATATGAGTTCGTCAATGGGAAGGATGACATCCCATATATTATGGAATATAAACAATGATTGAAACCACCAAGGAGTTCTGTAATATGAAAAATGTTACTGAATAACTGATATTATCAGGATATGAAAATATCATTATCATGATAATCACATATATTATAACATATTATGATACTAATATGAAAACACTTTATCAGTATATTAAATGATACTAAGATTTGTAAGATCATGCTACACCATGTTTTAATATACCTTTAGCTTATTGTTATCTTAAGGTCCTAAGGTTACGTTGTTGTTTGAGTTATTGAGATCATGATAGGTACAGTAATGTTCCAATAATAGTGTGTGAACATCAGCCGTTTTGGGTGATTGGTAATGTCATGTTCAAATATGCTTGGGGTATGTCATTTCGAGCCATTCCAAATTTGACCATCCGTTTTTGGGGTCTAAAGACGTCTAAAGTTGATCCATTCCAAAGTGGGTCACCCCCAAAACACATTTATTTACTGTCTCTGGGGACGGATGAAAATCCGAACGCTGAAAGGTCTGATTTTGGTGGGCTGAAAGTCGTGGTCCAACTTAGACCCCGTGGAACAAAGGAACCATCGGTAAATTTCGAGCGTCTCATTGCACTGGTACAATATGAGGCCCCCCAGTTAGAAGTTGGTTTATAAGCCCCAGTAACTACAGTATAGTTATTTGCGTACCATAAACCAAAGTTATTGGAGTTATACACCAACTGAACGCTATCTTGGGGGCCTCACATTGTAGATAAAGATGGTCAATGATGCAATACACCTCGATCTCGAGGTCCAACTGCCGGGGCCCCCTTGGGGATACATCCCCCCGTTAGCCGAATCGAATCTGACAAGGTCAGCAGTGAAAGCCCATCAATTTTGAAAGATCCTGAGGTACTCACAGGTGGAAAATCCATGAAAATCCACCATTTATAGTTTGTTTCATGTTTTTCCCATTGAAAACCTATTAGATGATTTCGAGCCAGCCACGTTTCATTATCAGAGGGAAACAAACTATCACAAGGTAAATCTTGCAAATTTATCTACGCAATCCTGCCAAGCTGTGCCTTGTGATGTTGATGGGAATGTGCTGCTTCACATCGCCATCCGGAAAGACCTCTTCGAATTCACAATCGAGGAAAAGGGATGCCGTATGGTACCCTGGAAACATACGAAAGAAATGTGGAAAAGCCATGGTTTCCCTAGGAAGGTGATCTACAACCCGACGTGTGCACAGAATTACGGACCACTTGGGAAGAAGTCATCACCTTCAAGTACTGACATAGACACCGCAAGAATAGTGTGGCAACCCGCAGCATATTCCAGAATGGCAAAGTCTTTTTGTGAATCGGACATGTGAATTGTTTGATTCCGTCAACCCACCTGGAAGCAAACACATGTTCATATTCTTGGAGCTTTCCTAAAAGTGGTGGTACCCTCAAATCATCCATTTGGGGGTACCCCCATGGAAACCCCCTGAAACGGCCAAGCTGCTGGAGCAAGGCCCAACCCCAACCCCACGTGAGGTCTTCCACACTGCAAAAGATGTGTGTTTTTGTGTTGTCATCTCTTTGCCAAGCCACATGAATGTCATCCCCACGTGCTATAGATCTATAGCTGGTATAGGAATTCTATAGCTACATTAGCTACATCTTCGTCAGTTGCTCGATAGGAAACCACTACTATTGGGTCACGTACCTCTTTGCAGATCACCTCCTTCGTATGCTTCAGCCGTTCCCACCTCAGCTCGGGTCAAGCTCATGCCATGTTTACCCCAACTGGGAGTTGTTGATGGCAGTTTTCCCATACAGAGGGTGAAATCCATGTGGCTTCACTAGCTTTCAAATGCATCCCAAAAATTGCCGAATTTCACACAAGTTTTTTGATGCGTCCACCGCGAATGAGCACGAAAATATCCCCATGTCCACTATACTATGTAGTTCTAAAAGAAAGTTACCCTCTGGTAATTTAACATAGCTATTGAAAATCACCATTTTCTAGCTGGGAAAATCCACTCTTTCTATGGTCATTTTCAATAGCTATTTTGACATAACCAGAGGGTAAGTTTGCCCGGTATTTTGCACTCAAAGTTGACCGGCTCCATCAGCATATCTACAAAAAATGCGTAAAAAGCCGTAGTTTTTGTTGAATACCCTCTGGTGAACTAACATAGCAATGGAAAATCACAATTTTTCATGGGAAAATCCACTATAAATGGCCATTTTCCATTGCTATGTTAGTTCACCAGAGGGTACATGTCTCGTCCAAGATCGTCTTGGTGCCGGGAACATAAGTTTATTGGGCATGGTTACCACAATTAAGATTAACCCCTCCAGTGGGTCCAGTAAAGATATGTTTTTGGAAAATAAAGCTGTAGGACGCATCCTACTAAAATCCAAGCATCAGCGGGTATATCCCATTTCCCCGAATCATGCACGTGCAGTGGTATATTATCAACATGTATACATCATATTTCCCTATATCCTATAATGTGCCCATTTACCCCAATGACCCACATGTAGTTAAATGATGTTAAGTGATGTTAAATGGACACTTCTGGAAGACACGCTCGGGTCCCTGATTTTCCGATTTTCCCCTAAACCAATCTATGAAATCCCAGATCTCCAGAAGCAGCTTAAAAGACCATTTTAGTACCCATAGGATCAATGTATGGTATATATGCTAACATTGGGGATATATTGATGGTAAATGTTACCATATATAGCATACATGGATCCTATGGGGTATGGAAACCTTTTTGGTGACTTGGGATCTTTTGGGGATCCCAAAAACCACACCAAGAGTCGAGAAATTCTTCTGAAATTCCGATGCTGCTACGGCAGCCACGGGTCTAGGGCCCGCGACTCTTCATCCAGAAGCTTCTGGTGTTGAGGATTGGTCTGTGCGGACGCTGGGCTGGGGGACCGACAGGAATCCCAGGAATCCTTGGAGTTGTGGTCACCTGTGGGGTTTCAACGCAACTGCCTGATATTAAAAGACAATCTGATCATATATAAGATGTACATATATACATAGGAATTACATAGATATAGATAAATATAGATGTAGATATAGATAAATATGATAGATAAATATGATAGACACATATGATAGATAAATATGATAGATTGACATTAGATAGATATGATATAGATTGACATTGTTTTTAATAATATTGTTATTAATGATATTGACATTAATGATATTGATATTAATGATAATGATAGTGATAGCGATACATCTACCAAACATAACACGCATTGGTCGGAAAGAAAAAAAACTCAACAGGACTGCGACAAGGTGAGGCCCTCCTATATAGTCAGCTGCTCGTCAACGCTAGCATTATGATCAATAACTTGTTGGTTTATACCATTATACTAACTATAGTTGTATTCCGTTGTATTCCCCATAAACCATAGTTAACTAACCATAGTTAACCACACTTAACCGTAGTTAACCATAGTTAACCATAGTTAGCCATAGTTAGCCATAGTTACAGTAATCATACAAGTAGTTAGTTAACCATAGTCAATCATCCTGAGGAATCCTGTTGGTTCAACAAAGATGGGTGGTCCAATTTTGCCCATCTAATTTTGCAAAAAGCCAAAAAAAGAACACTGGTAAAAGTGGGGATGGGTCAAAACCCTGGTACCTAGTGAACCCCAAAATAGCTGGTAAATGGATGTTCATCCCACTAAAAATGGTATTAATAGGTATTGATTCATAGCCAAGTGTCAAATTTGAAGATCTAGCTGGGTGTCTGAAAATGGGCTAATTCTATCTCCACCTTATTGCCATCTACAGAACATAATTTTCAAAATTTTGGATTTTGGAGTGTTTTCCCCAACAGTTGTTAAGTGGGTTGGTTTAGGGGGAACAAAAAGGGGAAACCCCAAGATTTGGAGTAAAAACCATAGTTTCCTGTATGATTCCTGTATGTTTTCTCTCTTTTCTCCCATTTTTTTAGACCTTTCCAGACCTAGGGATGGATTGTGATCAGCAGGCCGCAGAGCGCCCGCACCCGAATCTCTTCCAGCTGCTCCTCTGTCAACCAGTCCTTATGCCGGCTTTGGCCAACAAAAATATTTTTTTTTTCGAGAATGAGGCAGTGGATGGGAACATGAATTCACACTGAAAATGATGAAAAAAATCGGTGATGTTTCACCAAAAATAGGGGATTTATAGCTGATTTACGTTCGCGAAATTGGTTGGGTGATCCCTATGGATTTGTGGGGTCCATTCTCAGGAGTTTTTTTTTGATCGGGACAAGTGATGACTGATGGATAATGGGATATAATTTATCATAAAATAATGATATTGGGATATGATAATATAAAACTAGCCATGTTCTGGGGATATATTGGGAAAGTATGGGAAAGTAATGGGATATACAAATATATAATAACGCACACTATAATGTGATTTATGGTTACTGGGCGAGACCTATAACGGGAATCATTTAGGGGTTGGTTGTAACATAGGGAGCACATTGCCTGGTCTATTTCTAGCGGGCATAGAACGGAATATGATCATCATGATCAATGGATATTAATGATTGGTATCATGAGATAATTGGAATGGGACTGAATTGGATAATTATACGATACGCTTGGAAATAACTAATTAATTAATTAGTTTTAATTAATTAACTATTTAATAATTAATTAATTAATTAATTAACTATAGGCATGCTTGAACATCCCCATTGTCTTTCAAGAACATCATCTTCTCTTGGATAAAGAAAAGACGGGGAAAACCTCTTGGAGGGCCCACAGATGTTCCATTCCCCAACCATGACTGAGGGTCATTTTACATGCCACTTCACATCTACCCTCTGGTTATGTCAAAATAGCTATTGAAAATGGCTATTTATAGTGGATTTTACCATTAAAAATGGTGATTTTCAATAGCAAACTGTTAAATTACCAGAGGGTAACTATGCTAACTATGAGTGCGGAAAAAAGTTGTGATCCTTGAGATCAATCCTCCAAGCTGGACCTAAACCGAACAAGGCCATAGGAACACTGCCGAGTTTCAAGGCCATAGTCCGGAGTATGATACTTGTGCCTCAGGTGACGGATCATGACGGCAGGCGACGGTAGGATCGACATGGATCAGGCGTTTTCAGGCCATGTGCGCTGAAACATACAGATCCATAATGAAAAAAAACAAAGAAAAACGATAAGCTACAAAAAAAACACTAAATATCTGCCTCCTTTCAATTCTGGCAGCCGGTACAATTGATCTATATGCACTACGCAGCAAGTTGCGGTCTTGCGCTCCAAGCTACTGGAAGTTGTTCTCCAAGGATTTGTGGTCGTAGGTCATGATGTCCAACGTCTGATCCTGGAACATCCACCGTTTGTTTTTTTCGTTCGCTACACCGTGGTTTAGTAAATGGATGTGCTCATGGCTTCCATTGCTAGGTGACATTAGCGTGAGTGTATCCCACTGTTATTTATTTGTAAGTATGTCCTAATTACTGGACTCCTTGGCGCTGTTCATGGTCGCGACAATCGTCTTAGGCTATCATATTTTAAATGTATATTATCCAGGTGGGTATGGCTCAAAATTGGGTACCCAATTTTGAGTGGATGGTGTTTTAATTACCCTCTGGTTATTTGTTACATAGCCATGGTTTTTCGATGGCCATAATCGAAATAGATGGTTTACCGTTTACCTATTAAAAATCATGTATTTTTCCATGGCAAACTGTTGGTCATAACCAGATGCTACCCTCTGGTAATTTAACATAGCTATTGAAAATTACCAGGATTTTCCCATTAAACATGGTGATTTTCCATAGTTATGTTAGTCATAACCAGATGCAACTCAAAATAGCAAAATAGCCATCTGTGGTCCCTGAGTCCCAACTGGCCTCGATCCAAAGACCGTCCATACCATCTTCACCGTAGAGGAATTGAATGATGTCCTGATCGAAAAAAGAAGGGGATTTCATTATGTCACTGGCTTGATTGAAGGGAAAGAAATGCGGAAAAACCATGGAAAACCATAGAAAAACACATGTTCTGTTCCTATCAAACATGCGGTTTTTCTTTGTATACATCTATCCTTTGGTGGACGGGGCATTCGAGAAGCTGCCAGCGGGCAAGGTCAAGTAGGATACCATAGGATACAGATAACGAAAAGTGTGGAATCCATCTTGCTATGTGCTGTCATCTGTCGATCCAATGGCTCAAACCTCCATTTGGATCTCCAACGATCTCGGGTCATTTGGGCTGCAAGTCTATACTGGTTGGTGGTGCAATAACCATCTTGAAAAATGATGGAGTTCGTCAATGGGAAGGATTATCCATGATTATCCCATATATTATGGAAAATGAAAAATGCTTGAAACCACCAACCAGAAAATCACAAACAAAAATCAGGGGATTGGCCCAATTTTATAGCTAGCCCATATGCAAAATACTCATGGATCCTGACTACGTGAAAATCCTCACGCATTGGTTACGTATCCCATTTAATTCTTAGCTAAATAGCTCGTCCCATGGCCATACATACAATATAATACAGAATTACATATCAATTAATAACATTAATATCAGCATACATCATCATATATCATGATTATCATAATATTCTATTAGAAATTTACGTATAGAATATACATGTGTCAATATTATCTCATATGATCTATTCGATATACCAATAAGGAAAACCATGGCCTGAAAACCTCGAGACCCACACAGAAATCCAATGAGTCATTGAGGCTTGGGCGTTGCATGCGTTCCGTGCGGTACCATCGTAGGCCACCCTGGGTCTGGGTTACACAAAACACACCAGGTGCAAGGGGGGTAACTTGGGTAAATATAGAGGTAACAAAAATATGCTATCTGGTTGGTGGTATACCTACCCCTCTGCAAAATATGAGTTCGTCAGTTGGGATGATGACATTCCCAAAATATGCAAACTCATAAAATTCCATGGTTCCAAACCACCAACCAGCTATGGTTCTTCCCCTTTGTTGCTATCATCTATCATGGGTTGGAGCAACCCTGAGAATTTTCGGTCCAAAAGCAACAGAAACTGCGCTTTTACCGAAACAGATGGCCGGGTGTGGATGTGGATTCCCCCAGTCATATGGTAAGTTCATAGGTGTTGACCCATCCCTATGTATATATATATATATGGGGATGGGTCAAAATTAGGTACCCCAAAATTATGGATGGTTAATACTAAACTAGACTAACATCTGTGGTCCCCTAGGTCTTCCATTTTGACCCACATCCATATATATGATTCACTTGGTTCTGATTTCTTCAACAATTTGGATGAATCCCAATATGTTGTCCTCTTGCCAGGCGTACCCTTCGAGGAACGAATCAACTCATTGGTGCCCCGTTGGAGAAGCTTTTCCCCGTCCAGTTTTGCATCATTTGAGGGCAGGTTATCTCGGCTCCAGGATCATTGCTTCAAGTACCACCTCTGTGTCAACTGCTGACCCATTTCTGGTCAGGTGAACAAATCCCATTTGTTCTTGGTGGATCAAGTGATCAAGTCACTCATAATAAATTGCTTAGTTGATCGTGATTTTCTGGTCATGGATTGTGATATTCCCCATGAAATATATTGGTTTTCCTACTATCCCCATCATCAATCATCATATCAAATATCACTGATATCCACTAAAAATCTATCTCCCCATAATTAATTAACATTAATATAAAACCTGGATTTTTTAAGGGGAGATGGGGAGATTGGCCCATCAGTTCATGGTGAAAACCTGAACCCCAACCCCAAAATTTGGATGGCCATGGGCTCCCCTGGAGGGCTCCCCACTTCAAAGTCTCCATGGATTTCACGAGGCGGCGCTGGATATACCTCACGGTCGGCAGACGATTGGCTTGGCGTCATCCTTTTTTCCGCCTTGGAAAATGGAGGAAAACGAAAGGACACATAAATGGACATACAGCAGTTGATGTATCCATTTACCTATATATTAGAATATATATATATATATATACGTATTTATATATATATACACACACGTATTTATGTATATATATATATACAGTATATGTAGTATTGTAATCTGATTGGTATTGCATGTAGTGCCACGTGGTATTGTATATCATAGGGAAACACCACGTCCAAATCACTTCCGTGTCCTCTAGAACCAACCCACTGATGGCGTAGTCATCATAGTTGCAGGGAGCAAACCATTGGGATTTCTGTAAAATATCTGAAAAGATGGTGATTCCCCTTGTTTAATCATCAAGTTCCCATCATCTTCCCTATGAAACCTCCCATCAAGTTCCCATATGTTCCATATTTTCCCATATTTTCCCACCCTCTGGTAAACTAACATAGCTATTGAAAATTGCCATTTATACTGGATTGTCCCATTAAACATAGTAATTTTCCATGGTTATGTTAGTTTACCGGAGGGTATTTTCCAATAGTTTCCCATATTTTCCCATGAAACTTGCCATCACTTGCCGGTGCCACTCCACACATCTCTACCAAGCTGCCCCGTCTCTGAGGTCTTACAGGCCGTGTCAATCACTCCCTCGCGACCTCCCATGGCGTGCATCCACACCTTCGGGCTCGCAGGGGAAACAAACAAAGACGTCTTTCTCCAGAAATGAGGCATAGACCCTCCAGTAATCTAACATAGGAAAAACTAGGAATTCAAGTAGATTCTTTTCCTATTCTTCACATTGCCATATGTCCATCTCGGATGGCACTACCAAAGGGTACCCTTCAAAACCTCCAATTGGGTAGATGGTAATTCCATCTATAAACCATGTGAATGTTAACATGCTAATCATTAGAAAACTATTAAGATACTATGTAGAAGCATCCTATTATATAATATTGAAATATCATCAAATATCATTAAGTATCATTAACATATGAAAATTATATAATGTAGCTGGTTGATCGCTGGTTGATAGTTTCAACCCCCCTGGAAAAGATGCTCGTCATTGGGGATCATCATCAAATTTCTAGTGTTTAAATTAAAGCCAGTTAAGGTTGCATGCAATAATATGTGTTGCTTTCCTGTTTTTAAGATACTAGTATGATACTATTACTATATTACTATATTATTATTATGAATTAAAAAATAATAATGATTACTTTAAGATATCAAACTTAATACTACTAAGATACAAATATAATACACATATAATACAAAAATATATAAAATTCAAAAACATATAGTAAAATACTCATGCGATATTCGTTGTCATACTATGTAAATATAGTAACATACTCTAAGATAACCATATGCTCCATGGTGCTGGAATATTTACCAACATCTGCCCTAAAAATCACCCAGTTTTGTAGGTAAATATACCAGCACCATGGAGCATATGGGATAACTATGTTCCCATCTACCCTCTGGTAAACAGACATAGCTATTGAACATGGCCCAGTCGAAATAGTTGATTTATCCATTAAACATTGTGATTTTCGTTAGTTACGTTAGTTTACCACAGGGTAATGATTAGAAGTCCTCAGATAGAAATCATGATACTCCACCATAGTTATGTAAATGGTGGATCTGTCCATAAAAAATGGTGGATCTTTCCAGTTTGTTTTGTGTAAACGTTTACCAGAGGCTTTGTTCATACGTGTCCTGATTGTGATATCTTCTCATCCCGTCCCATGATCGCCTCCTGTGGCGTCAAACCGGCCAGGTAGCTGTTCTCCACAAAGCCTCGAGCCTCTGCTCCGTAATCGTCCTGCCCGCGCCCATCGGCCCCACACGGTTTGGGGTCGCAATCGCAACGAGGAACGGACATGGTGAACTCATGCGATTTTCCGGAAAAAAACTAAGGAAAAATGTTGGGATTTTAGCCACCCAAATAAATACCAACCATACTCACCTTTGTTTGAGATGGGGATGGGTCATAAATAAACTTCAAGGAAATTTGCTGGCTTTGACATCTCAGCATAGCTGAGCCAGTCATTCAAAAAGATGTTCATCCCGCCCCTCCAAAAGTCGCGCGGCATCGGTTGAAAAACCCATCCCCAATCCATGAAATCATGTTTTCTTGGAGGAAAAACATGGGAAATCATGGGAAATGGGTTTTCATTCATTTCCCATGCTTTCTTGGAGGATTGAAACTTTGAAAACATGGGAAATGGTGATGAAACCACCAACTTGCTGCCACACGAAGAGCTTAGTGGCGCATCAAATAGTCAACGTACATGGCGACCACCATTGATAAGCTACAAACTACATAAGGTCACTACCGAAATTGCTCAATGGTTCACAGCCCACATGAGGATGCCTTTCTAGAATGATTCGTAGACCCCTGCGAATTGTGCCTGACACACTGCTTCAACATGTACCGATGACGACAGATATTAGCCACTTGGGTCAAGCACTCCAACTAAGAGTCGAATTCAATAGGGGTATAATGAGGTATACTTCAAGGTTGCAACACTTACACTGTAATTTTTACAGTATCCCTAAATATTAAAAAAAATGGCAATTCCAAATTCTACATTGCATTTGTTTGGATTTTTTGGTTCAAACAACTTCGGATTTCGGGCCCATTCCGCGGCGCCTTTGTGAAGTGAGGCAAAGTGCGCTCATTGAAGCCATACCTGGAGGATTTGCTCGTTCGGCACTGAAAAACAGCCTCTAGATCTGATTGGTTTACTATGGTTTACTCCTGCCTCAGGGAATTCATCTTTGAATTGAATTGAAACATCTGTGTTGGTTTCTTCGGTCCTTCTTGCCTCTTAACTTAACCATCGCTTTCTGCTGGAATCTACCACTTTCGAGCAATCACACAGGTCATGCTTAGCTTAAATTCAACATGCTACCGAAAAAAGGTTAAAGCACATGTTGATACAGTTCAGATTATTCGTGGATGCCCCCGTAAGTTGGGATATAACATGATATAATAACCAGTATATGACCCGTATCACTATGGTTCTACACCGACTTACGCTCCAGTAACCTAACATAACTCTGGAAAATCACCATATTTAATGATATTTAATGGGTAAATCAACTATTTCGACTGGGCCATGTTCAATCGCTAGCAGTTTTGTATGTTTACCAGATCGGTAAAGCCCGTGTATATCTCCGATCTTCCGCGCCTGATGCGGGAGCCTTCCACATTCTGCTGCCCCACACAGGCCACGATCTGGGCGATGTTCAGAGGGGACCTGGGCGGACGTTTGGCTTAACAAATCGGAATTCATTAGCAGAAATGTGAGGATATATGAAGATAACATCTAGTGAACATCTATATAATATATATTTATAATATAGATATATATATGTAAACTATATATTGGATACTTAAGATATGAACATATATGCCAAGATAGGTAAACAAAAAACATTATAAAATAACATTGCTAATATTTATGCATCTATGTAGAAGTATGTATACATGATACTTATATGATTCATGACCATTCATGACCAACAAAATAAAATTTCACCGAACAATGCGGATATTCATATCAACAATAGCCAGTTATTATGGATGGGTGTTCAGCATGCTTCAACCATGTCCAAACGATAATCGTAGGAAACCATTTACTGTAGGGGATGATAGTATGATAAACCAAATTCAACAAATTGGTGTGACCAAACATGGGTATACCCGCCAAATGGTTATCATAATTGTGAAAATCATCATTTTCCGGTCGATATACGGGTACCCTATTGACAAACCCAAATATCAGCTGGTTTGGCCGTTCAACCCACTATCCCATTTTGCGTGATCGTCTACCATGATATCGAATAAGAGTTGGTGCACACTCAATGGCAGGATATGGCAGGCCCGGGCTTCCCACCGCAACATGGCACATCATAGAACCGTATGAACCCCCACTCAATTTTTACATACACAGAGGGTAGTGGACCACCACGTCGATGATTACTGCCTCTATCAACTATTGAACAATCTGATGTTTTAATTGAATCATTCGTTAGTTGTGGTTGATAAAATACCGTTGGGAGCTACTCCTTCCCATTTCGCTTGACCAAAAATGCGGTGTTTACTCTCTGGTAAACGTTTACATAGCTATAGAAAATCATCATCTTTAAAAGGAAAATTAACTATAAATGGACCATTTTCAATAGCTATGTTAAACTACCAGAGGGTACCCAAAGAATCGCGAATTGATCGTCACAGTCTGCCCTGCCATTCTTATCAAGGTCCGGGCCCTTTGGAACCTGCATTCACCTGTGGCAGTTGCTTGCGGAAAGTGCAAAGAATGGATTCCCATCTCTTTCCAAAACCTGTATATAATACTATAAGTGTGTGAGCTAAAATACATATAATTCTGCGCGTATAACCGAAGGAAGTTTAGAAGTCAAACTTCCGACAATATGGACAGATAAAAAGCAGAGATGGGAAGAGTCAGAGAAGAGAAGAGAAGAGAAGAGAAGAGAAGAGAAGAGAAGAAGAAAGAAGATCACAAAAGAGAAAGCCTCAGAAGAAAGAAGATCCAGGTGCGCGAAAAGGTAGGAAAGTCGCGAAACATTCTGTTTTTCCAAAGATTTGTGGCTCCGGAGGGCCGAAAAGTAGGCTCGCTAAAGCGGCGGGTGCGGAGCCAGCTGGCCAGATGAGAGATGAAAAATTGCACGCCATTGTGGCGCAAAGCAAATTTCCAAGTCAAAATGTATAAAACACACCATGCTCGGACCACTTTTGGAAGTTGAGATGTCGAAAAAGTGCACGCCGTTGTGGCGCGAAGCACATGTCGAAGTCAAAATGTGCAAAGCACACCATGCTCGGACCACTTTTGGAAGTTGAGATGTCGAAAAAGTGCACGCCCTTGTGGCGCGAAGCACATTTCGAAGTCAAAATGTTTTAGAAACACCAGAGTTCGGACCATTTTTGGACGTTCAGATATCGTTTCGCGTAGCAGGCGCAAGGGATTGCGCACACTGTCAAAGGTTAGAAAAGCGTGAGGGTTTTGTAGCATTTTCAACTACAACCACCACTACACCACACTACACTCCAATACACTACACTACAACTACAAATACACCTTCACTACATTCCACTTGCACCACACCCCACTACACTCCACTACACTACACTCAATTACACTCAATTACACTCAATTGCGCTACACTACACTACACTTCACCACACTACACTACACTACACTATATTCCACTACACTACACTACATTACACAACACTCCACTACACCACACCACATTACACTACACTACACTACATTCCACTACACTACATTACACTACACTACACTACACTACATTACACTACACTACACTCCACTACACTACACTACAGCTACACTTGACTACATTCCACTACACTACACCACACTCCACTACACTCCACTACACTACACTCAATTACACTACACTACACTACATTACACTACACAACACTACACTACATTGCACTAAACTACAACTACAACTACAACTACAAACTACAACTACAACTACAACTACAACTACATTACGTTACATAACACTACACTACAACTACAACTACGACTACAGCTACAACTACGACTACACTGCACTAATTGCATTACACTACACTACACGACATTACACAACACACTACACTACACTACGCTGCACTACACTACACTACACTACACTAATTGCATTGCACTACACTACACTACACTACACTACACCACCCTACCCCACATTGCATTACATTACATTAAATTACACTACACTCATGACACCACCGAAAATGCAACTGCAACTGCACTACACTAAGTACACTACACCACAACTACAACTCCACTACACTACAACTCCAACTACAGCTGCGCTACACCACGCTACATCCAGCAGGTGTGGGTGAGGTGACCGACCAGGTGACCATTGCAACCATTGCAGCCACTCCAAAAAACACAGCTCCAACCACCTTTTGGTCCATCAGTGGATTCGCTCTGCCATCCGTGATTCACAACAACCAATCTCTCCTATAGGTTTCCTATTTTTGAAACTTCCGCCACCGCCTTGTGCGGTACTACTGATATATATATATATTTTTTTACATGTGTATATCATATACTTCATTCTATGTCAATTCATTATAATGCATACACACATATATTTCACTGTGGTGCATTCAAGAAACCCAGCCCGCCTGTTGAGGTTAGAATTTCACTTGGCCATCTTCAAGGGACAAAATAAATTGTCAGCATCGAACCCATCTGCAAATCAGAAGTCATCCAACTATAGATGAAATATATGTGAATCTATATGTGAATCTACATATTAATCTATAGTTAATCTATATAGAAGTCAGCCATTTGCCATAACAAAGTCAACTTTTTTTGTTAATCAGCCATTTGCCATATGTTTAACTATAAATGAAACATGTTAATCATCCATTTGCCATAGCTATGTTATATAACCGTTATTGGTAAGCGTTCAGGGTCACCATTTAAAGCCCGGGCGAACAACGGCGTTCCCGGGCCATCGAGATGATGTTGTTCCGTTCGTCCAGGGAGCTCCCTCCAATGTTCCCTGCATCCTGAGCCAATGTCACGTTTACCAACGGATATGGGGTATAAATGGTATAAGTTATAAATCATCCACTAATGAATGAAACATCTTTCAAGAATTTTCAAGAGATATGTTTTAAAAAAAAAACGTCGCCAAACTATGGTATAACTATACCAAAAAGCTCATGGATTTTCCGGATAAAAATGTTTGGTGGTTCATCCCACGAATCCTAAGTAGGTTCTAACCCCAGCTCTAAGTGGATTAAGCCTACTTATCCCACTTATAACCAGGGATATAATCTGCTTAGGATTCGTGGGATGAGCTCATTCTTCACGATCCCATCGGATCAACCAGAAACAACAGGAAGAGTCTTGAGGAGGCCGACACGGCCTTAGCCTCTGGAAAAAATATGACATAGCCTCCGGTTATTTTTAACATAGCTATGGAAAATGACCCATTATCCATTTAGTTCGATGATGTACCTATAAAAGTATAGGTACAAACGTGTTGATTTTCGATGGCTAGGCTATGTTAGTCATAACCATACCGGGTAACGATCTGGAACATCACCATCTTCGGTTTTTATCATCGAAGTAAATGGCCTTGACTGCCCAGCTGGGCCAGCTGCCCGAGGTTGCACAATATGAACGAGGAACAAGTGTGAATATCCGAAACCGAAACAAGCCTTTCAAAGTGATTTTTTTCCACATTTACCCGTTTCACACTCTTGGAACGTGAACTTAAGAAATATGAATATCAACATATATATATACATACATACAGTACATATATATATGTATTATATATAACATGCGTGAGTTTGATTTCACAAAGGATTAGCCGATTACCCCAAGAGAAACACATGGTTCATCCCCTAAAAGCCGGTCGCAGCCATGCCGCCTCTCGAGCTGCATTCAATCGCTGGTTCACGCGGGCCTCGAAGGATTGGTACCTGGTGCGTTGCGCGGTCAACGAAAACAGCCTGGTTGAGGAAAGGATTTTCTACTTACTGGTGCGTTTTACGTCGGGAATTTTCGGGAATGATCCATTTCATCACTATCAATAATAATCCCAGCAACCCCCAGCAACCCATCCCCTCCCTACATTTAGCACCAGTAAGTCTATGCTCATGGATTATGATAATATATGATAATCCCATGATAATCCATAGAAAATATATGAAGGCTAGCAGGCATAATCCCACAATCAACCAGCAGTGGTGTTCAAGAATGCTCAACAGAAGATGCTGTTGGAAGTGCTGCTGGAATGATCTGAAGCTATGGGATCCATTGCTTGGAGGATCCAAGTTATTCACTGCTTAGTTGAACTGACTGTATCATAAGTGCCCAATTCTCCATTTCTTGGGGATACTATGTGTATATATATATATATATATGTATATATAGACACACACACACAGGTACTACCACAATAGCTGAACAAAAACCATGAAACAAAAACAATGAAACGAAAACATGTCATCTCAAAACGAAACATAACAAGGATCAGATTTGCAATCAATTGATTCCATATTTCTGCCAGAACAGCCTTTACCGCCGCGAACCAGCATGAAGCGCCGGTTCAGCGCACATGGTCTTTCCAGGCTGTGTCTCCAGCTTTCCTCGCTGGGCATCTGCCAGGATATTGCGCACCTCATTCTTGGCCTCGGAACGGCAGTTGCTGGATTTTAGACCAAAAAAAACGCAAAGAAACTCCAACTACTCACGAACCATCCACAAAAAAAACACCAAAAAACGTCAAACAATTGAAGATCTAAGATCAAATGATGCTCCAGCAGCATAGACGCAATGAGACGAAAGTTTTCTTGAGATGCTATCGCACGGTCTTCTTCCAAAACAAACAAATGAGCATCACTATCGGTTGACTCCCAATTCTGGGCTGTTGAATACTTCTTGGCCAATATCACCCAGAGGATTTGGTTGGGAAAACAGAGAGAGATAAGGCAATAGCCAATGACTATCCCCAACAAAATTAAATGGCTAACAATTGCACACCAAATGATCTTACTCTTGCTCGTGGAAAAAGAAACACATCTCGTTCGGCTGAAGCCTGTTAAGCCGAAAACCCTGCATGTCTTGCAGATCACCCAGCGGATGTCATGGAAAAGCCCATTAAGATCAGAAATTATCCTACTCTACAGGTATGAGGATAAATATCTAATTTTCCTGAATGAATCCTTGCTTTTGATCCTAGATCCTCATTTTCTCTCGTCTCAAATTCCATTTTGGAACCTCGTAACATGTCAGGTGATTTCCCACTCTGCACCTGTTTCAGCGTCTTCTCCACATTGAGCAGCGTCTGGTCGTTGGCAATGATATCTGCCACGCCACAAGAAAACCTTAGATCGAGGCCCAAAGACGCAAACAGGGAATACATTGGAAAAGACATAAATGATCTCACTGAACAAAACTGGGGATTTCGACTAAAATTTGGCGTCTTTTCAAACCGCACCAAAGATTTATAACATGATTTACCATCTGGCTATGACTAACATAGCCATGGAAAATCACCATTTTAATAGGCAAACCATCTATAAATGGGTCATCTATACCATGGCTATGTTAGTCATAACCAGAGGGTAACCCAATCGTCAGATCTCCAATGAATCCAATGCATCGTCTTCAGATCATGATGATCCAATGAATCCAATGACCACCAAACGACAGCAATTTCACCAACCAAAAACTGCAGGATTTTCACCACTGGGGGGTCTGAGCTGTGCTGTGACAGAAAAATCAATGGACCCATCAAACTTGGTCTTTGGAGAAAATGACGCTGCAATTCTGTGTCTATATCTCTGTGTGTAGACATATGTGTGTGTAGTACTGTACTGTAACATATGATTAAACAAAAACTGACAAAAAAAACACATTGTGTGAATTGTGGAATGAAAACCAGGAGTGAAAAACCTGGTCACCACGGTGCAGATGACAGGTTGGGGGGTGAGCAGTGGTGACATGACAGGCTTTCGAAGTGGCTGGGATGGCCGGGATCACATCAAAAATCACCATCGATTCATAGGACTTTTCCTACGGATCCATCACTGGACCTTCCGAGCAGCCCGTTGTGGGTCAGCCACTGGTTCACCATCTTCTGGATGTATGACAGCACCTCAGAACTTCATCGAAACTTGGGACCCGGTCACAGAGTCACAGACTGAGTGGTGTTTTCAACTGTCGAACTACCCGGCCTGGTAAACATACAAAAAACTATGGAAAATCACAATTTTTAATGGGAAAATCCACTATTTCTATGGCCATGTTCAATAGCTATGTTTACCAGAGGGTATCATAAGGTGCACCAGCCTGCACAGATTTGTTTGGAAACTGATCTTAAAACAGGTCAGACCAAAACAGTGTGGAAGCAAAACAGCCAAGTCAAAAGATGCAGATCCGCGGGTCCTTAAATGATTTCTGATTGGGTTTCTAATTTTTTTGGGGACATACCCTCTGGTAAACATACAAAAAGCTACTGAAAATGGTGATTTATAGTGGATTTACCCAGCTATAAAATGGTGGATCTTTCCAGTTCGCTATGTAAACGTTTACCAGAGGCTACATCGAGATGAATGGAAGATTCCATAATTTTGTATCCACATCTTGGGGATGAATTATTTATATATATATATATGTATGGGTTGTATATATGAATTATAAACCAAGGATCAACCATTCACCAACCATTCACCCCTCTTTTTTCACCACCAGACCCCACAATGGCATCCCTGGGGCCCTCCAACATTTCTGCACCACTCAGGCCCTGAATCGAGCCAGACCTAAGCGCTCGATAAGAGCGCCGAGCGCTGAGCCCTAAGGGCCCCCAGTTATAAGTTGATAAACTATAGAACGTTATTTAAGTATAGCCATATGATATAAACTATATGGTTAACTTTTAGTATACCATAATAATTTAATAGTACAGTATAGCTATAGTGTCTGATCAATGAGATCAGAAATAATTGGGATTACAAATTCATAATATGATATGATGCAATGTGATAACATGTAATGATCAACATCACAATGGGCGACACTGGGTAAGGATACTGTATATATACCCGGTACCCTTTGGTTATTTAACGTAGCTATGGAAAATCATCATTTTTAAGTTCGCTGAATCATCATGTTTGTCATCTATAACTGGGATAAATCATTCCATGGCTATGTTAAATAACCAGAGTGTTTTATATTACCCTCTGGTAAATTAACATAGACCCTGAAAATAGCCTAGTTTTAATGGAAACTAATCTTCCAACCCCGACAACTGCCAGGGTCGAACTGTTAATTTACAGAGAGTATATAATAATCATAAGTATAAGTATCAAAGAACTGCCATTTTCCATACCTATATCTATATTTTCATTAGTTTACCAGAGTGTATTATATTTTTATAATAATCACCATCAGCGTGTCCTTGCCCTCCGGAAATCCACCGTGGATGTTTTTTTTTCAGGAAATCCATCTATGAATGGATAATGAAATGGGATACCCCCATGACTAAACGGAAACCTCCATATATCTTTGGTTTAAACAATACCAGTTGAATTTCTCCATATTGGGCTATGGATCAATAGCTACAAATACAGTTGAAAAATGTACATCCATGAATCCCAGCTATTCTGATGTTCACTTTTGACCCGTCCCAATATTGTTGCTATAAATCATTCAACTGGATATCATATCACAACATATCAATACTATAGTACAGTAAGGTAAAACAATCATGAACCACCGATTTGGGAATGGTAAACATACCACCTATGGCTATGGTGATGACTGGGGGATGGTTTATGGCATTGTTTTACCCACATTATATATATATATATCATTTATCAGTATTCATATCCCATATATATATAATTATATGTGATCCCACTATATCATCATATTATAATATTCAATCCAGATAAACAAAATATCACTAATCATATCATAACATATCAATACTATAATACGATAATATTATCATATCATATCACTATATTATCATAATATTATCATACAGATCACTATCATATCACACGGTCAATACTATAGTAATATGATAACTCCGCCCCGTCCCCGGACACCTGATCTCTTCCGAGGTGCTAAGTGGAGCAAGGAACCACTGGAAGAGCCGATCTGAGGCTATGGAAGGTCTGGAAGTGACCATGGCCACCCGATGTGGGATAGATGTGGAACATCACCAATTTTAATAGGTAATACATCAATCCATAAATCCGTAAATGGAATGGACCATTTTCCACATCTATGTTGGTTTACCCTGGGGTATCCTCTGGTAATTCAATGTAGGGAACTGGAAAATCCCCATCCATTTCAACAAGGAAATCGCCAGATTTTCAAGGTGAGGCCCGCGTTTGCGATAAGTTTGACGCACATCACTTGGTTCACGTTTGGGTTCATGGAGGATACAGGCAGTTTTGTGAACTTTCTAAACCAATAAACATCACTGGGGATATCTCACCGGCATCCCATGATCTCTGCAAAATCTGCGAGTTGTGGCTATAATAAGAGCAAAAAAGAAAGCAAATCCACGGCCTGACCGGGCCTGACCTTTGCATCTGGAAGGTCAACAAACTTCCACATGCTCCCTTTCCGCCCGCGGAAAGGCGTACCGTCTTCTTGCACACGATGCCACTGAGCAATTCACCATTCATGATGAGCACCTGCGGGCTAGGCCGAAGGATGAAGGAGGGCCCGGGCGGATGTCATGGGTCATCAACCAGGGCGCACCACCTTGGTGGATTAGTCCCTTTTGTATAAGCAACGAAGTGTGTTGTCCCACAAATAAAACTGGTTGGTGGTGCAATAACTATCCAGATTGCTTGGATTACCCCACGGGATAGTCATGCCAATCGCTTTACACCATGGGATAATAACTGGTTGGTGGTGCAATAACAATAACCATCTTGAAAAATGATGGAGTTCGTCAATGGGAAGGATGACATCCCATATATGAAATGTAAAATAAAAAAAGGTTCCAAACCACCAAGCAAATAAAGCTGGGATAACAAGAAAGACTCGATCCATGTCCACCAAAAAAGACAAACACAGTGATTACAGGATTTTGAAGTATATTACCCATAGGATCCATGTATGGTATATATGCTAACATTTGGGGTATATTGATGGTAAATGTTACCATATATAGCATACATGGATCCTATGGGTTATAGTACTTGTATTGCAACATCTTACGGGATCCAATCAGAAACCCTCCACATCCATCTGCAGATGCGCGGCGACATATTCCAAGCATCTGTGGTATCAAAAGATATCAAAAGATATCAAAAGATGCTGTGCTATAGTAGCTATAGTCATCCATCCCATTTTAAGGGAATACTCATAATTAAATATAGTTTATTTAATAATTAAATATATATTACCATCTGGATATGTAACATAGCCATGGAAAGATCCACCAATTTTTAAGAACGGTAAACCCAGGTAAACCATTTATTTCAATGGGCCATTTCCCATGGCTATGTTGAATAACCAAAGGGTAAATATATATATTACATCAATTTAAATTATATCCCTATGGATTGACAATTGACCATCCAAGCACTGAGCAATTCACCGAAAAACCTATGGGTTCATAATTGGCTTTACATCCATAGATTCCATATGAAATCCCATGAAATCTCATTGAAATCAAACTCCCATTCAAATATCCCCCCTTATATAAATAGCATTGAAGTCCAATTCCCATCGATTCCCATCAAAGAAATCCCACCAGCATCCCATGAAATCCCCCTGAAATTCTCATGAAAATCCCATGAAAATCCCATATACTCCCATTAAATCACCATTAACATTCCCCATCTGTGGGATCTCTCCCCTCCGCCGTTCACGTTACCACCGGGCCTTGCAGTCGCTGGCCGCGAAGTCCGCCTCGTCCTTGCGGTTCTTCGAGGCGATGGCCGCATCGCGCTGAAGCGACGGACGGCGACAACGGGGCCCCTTTAAGGGGCCCTGGACCCGGGGAAAACCAAGGATTTACCATGAGTTAACTGAGTTAACCCAGACAAAATCTACTAAAATGGAGGATTTCGGCATATTTCAGCAGAATATATGAACATCATAAGTGGCATTTTATGGTATTTTGATGATCTAAGAATCTAAGACCTTGCGGTTGATGATACATGTGGATTTTACCAGCCAAGAGGTGGAAAAACGATCCCGCTGCAAGCCACCTTCATGGACAGAGTCTTTGGCAGAAGCATGGAGAGGATCTGCTTCCCTGTCCTACCGCAGAAGAAGTTTGCAGAGTTTCTGGGATACCCTCTGGCAATTTAACATAACTATGGAAAATCACCATTTTTCATTGGACAATTCACTATAAATAGTGATTTTCAATAGCTATGTTAAATTACCAGAGGGTAAATGATGGTTATGCCCTACACAGCGAGACTGAGACTGTATTTGGAGTTGTTTTGTGCGGTCTAAACACCTTCGAATTGAGCGTATTTGGAGCACTAGGGATGCTTCAACTTTCCATTCCAGGGTGCAAGTCCTACAAGTTGATGTGTTCAACCCGTTCAGAAGCTGTTCAACCGTTGACCTTCCTGGCAAACACCAGTGACACAAACGTGAATCCTATCCACCATCATTGGGATGTGTGTTTCTAAGGAAAAGATGGATTTACCCTCATGAAAACCAAATGAACACATCCAAAGAACTGTGTTTGAACTTTGAAGAATGATTTGATTCTTCTCTAAAGTTTGAACAATACTCTTCTGAATCAAAAGTTTGAACACTGACTCTTCTGAATCAACAGAAATTAGATATGATATAATTAGTATCAGCAAAAAAAAGTCACAAGCGAAACATGGCCAAAGACTTTCATAAACCAAAAGATCACCTCATGTTCCCCGTGCGTTTAAAAAAACATGCGCAGTAACCCCGGCTCCAGAGCATCTTGGGCTTCATGATGGCTGGTGGAGGAAGTTGACCTGTGGTGCCCCAGTGATGGTTATGGCTTATGAACAATAGATTAACCCGATGATGATCTATTCTTATGCAGGGGTATATGGGTTTAATTATCATTATTGCTATATCAATTTAAGAATATATATCTTTTACAGATCCCGGTGATTATTGGTATATCTATATATGCTTATAGTTTATAACGCCGATTGAGTCATCAAACGTGGCTGGTAAATACCCGAACTATATGTGAAAATATGGGACAATCATCTACACCTGCGGGATTGTCCATGGCCATGTTTGATTTCTTGAGGGCATAGAAATAGGGGGCACCACTTTGGTGCGGACAAAAACATGACCTTATTTCGATGCGCATTCAACTTGTCTTTATTCTATATGTGTTTGTTTCTTTTTTCCGGGGTATACACATTTCGAATGCTACACCCACATGTTGCTAGACTTCACTTATGTCACATAGGAGGTGAATTACTACCAACATCCAAACATCCAAGCAAATGCAATGGGTTCATTCGATAAACAATATCCAAAATGCATGTGTATTATATATATACTGGTTGGTGGTATACCTACCCCTCTGAAAAACATGAAAGTCAGTTGAAACGATTCTTCCCAATATATGGAAAGTCATAAAATTCATGTTCCAAACCACCAACCAGATATATAAAGTACCTTCTTAGGAAGTGGGACTGGGGTATGATTTGGAGAGTGATTTGTACCTTCTCAGACAGTGGCCATGGATCCATAGGGTATATATAGATCTAGACATACGGAAGTCTCACTCACACTGCGGTGCCCGGACCGTCCCATACAGGCAGCCACATGAGGATATTCATCACCAAATCCTGGAGAGCTCGAGCTGGAGACGACTTGATCGCGGATCGTCCATATAGTGATCTCAACTATACATCTATATTATTTTTGGATATATAAGGATAATAGGATGGATCTACAATATATGTGTTTTAATACAATATTGGACTGCGGGATACATATATATATATACAATATGTATATAAGGATGGATTTACAGTAACATGTTCTGGAAACTCAGTTTTTTGCTTGATAAATTGGGTTCTGGTTTCAGATTTCCCAGAAAAATGATGGGATCATCGAAAAAACTCAGCATCACTCAGCCCCATCTGGATGGCTGGGATCAGTCCTTCTCCATGTAGGTATCCCTCTTGGTGTATTTGGCCGTCGCCAGCAAACTGTCCTGACCCAACAAGGGGGAAGGCATGTGGCCGTGTTTCACATTGTTTCACAGCTAGGACAGGATGCTGCCTGGAAAGTGGCAAGTTCACAATCGTATCAGATTGTTATGTCAGATACCCTCTGGTAATTTAACATAACTATTGAACATGTATATATATATGGTTGGTGGTTTCAACCCCTCTGAAAAATATGAAAGTCAGTTGGGGATGATGGTTGGTAGATGGTCATGGCTCCCAAGATCTCCCAAGTATGTTAAACTATGAGGTTTTGACGCAGGAGTAAATCAACCATTGGAGTACATCAATCATACAACCATGGCTGGAAAAAACATATCATAGTGTTATTAGTGATATCATAAAACTGTATGCCATCATATCCCCACTTTTATATCATATCCCCACTGTGTGTGTGTAGGTTTCCTCAAATGGTTGGTACCCCCAAATCATCCATATTTAACATGTTTTTACATTATAAACCATCCATTTTGGGGCACCATCATTTATGAATCCCCCCTATATATACACGATAAACACTGGTTATTGGAGTTAGCTTCTCCAACTTAGCATTTCGACCAGGTTCGCCAAACTTGGAGTCGATGGTAATCTATGCTGTGAAAGCCACCATTTGATTCGATGATTTACATATTAGACATGGACATTTTCCATATATATGTATACATATCTTGTATACATACATATATATATGTGTGTGTTATGTTATATATATGTTATATATATGTATACACATGTGTTATATATATATATATATGTTATATATATACATATGTTATATATATATATGTTACATATTATATATATATATGTCAAATTGTCCAAATGGTAAATCCCCTTGGGGCAGCATCAACTGGTTATCCCACGATATCTCCATTCCTTCTGGTTGGTGTTTTGGTTGGGTGGTTATCGAGCCAAACATATCTCCAATGTTCCATCAAAAAAAATAATTGAGGATCAAATAGGTGTCTCATTGGGATTATCAACTTATTTTATGTTGACCATGTTCCAATGTTAAAAAAATGAATATTTCCCCTGATAATGATCATATAATGATAATAATTGGATATCTACCATATCTCCAATGATATAATATAATGTCTGTGTCTCTTTCCCCTGATATTTTCTACATCCCCCATAAACCATGGTAAGAAGTGGGGGATGAAATCACATCTTTGGGACCATGCAATTAGGAGGTGACTAAGAACGGGGGATGGGATCAGTCGGATCAGTAAGTTACAATGATAAGTAGTAAATTGAAGTATAATCCCATTATATCCCATGATATTCCATTATCATCCCACAAAAAATATCCCATATATTCCATGATAATCCCATAAATCTTCAACTTCTCCCATACGCCCACATATCACATCTTTTCACAAACCTATGGAGTAAATCCCAAAAAAAACACTGGTTGATACCGATGGATCCTGGAGTTCACCCCGTCACCCCTCCTGCACCACGCCCATCACGGGTTTGTTCCCCTGTGGCGACACCACCTGTGACGCCAACGGGAAGTTATCGAGAATTCAGCAGCGATTTTTTCACCGGAGAACACCGGAGAACACCGGATGTATTCATAGTTTGAATAACAGATTCCAATACCCATAGGATCCATGGTGCTGGTATATATGCTAACATTGGGGACATATTGATGGGATCCATGTTACCATATATAGCAGCACCATGGATCCGTCATGGGATATATTCCATCACGATAAATGTGGATATCAAGAACAAAATGGTTGTAAAGAGAAGAAAACACGGAGAACATATTCTTCCAAATCAATTCTTACTGTAGGAGATCCATTTCCTTCAAGCTGGGTCCCAATCCCAGTGACATATTCCATAACCGCCATGGCATTCAAAGTGAACCCGAACTTCAACCCTTAGAGACAACGAGGTTTTGAAGTTTTGACCTTCAAATGGATCGCACAATGTTGCTGTAAAATCTGGAACTATGAGATGGACAAAAAAGGGTGGTCGAAACATGTCGAAACATGGCAAAACCACATGACTTCAAAAGCCTATTCAAAAGCCTGCAAAAAAAACGAATCAAAACCTCTGCAGAGTCCATTGAGTCTGTGAATACCAGACACACTTTCAACATATTTTTGGCAGACAAGTAAAGATCCCTCAACCGAATGGTCATTCCAGTGCCAGATTGCAGTCAGCTCCGTTGCCTGTCTGGGATTCAGCATCATGTGCTTGATCTCTGCCCGCGTTTCGTGAGACTGGCGTCCGCTCTATCGCTGAAGGTGAGACATGAGGGGAATGGAGGGTCTGGAGAAAAGAATGATGGACAAATAAACACATTCATAAATGTGTAGTGTGGGATTTCTTAGGGGTAGTATTAACCATTAAGATATTGACTGGGATACGAGTAGATATAACTATAAAGCACTATAAAGGGAGATCATATGGAGATGATGAACCTTGATTATTATATAATATGTTTCGCAGAAAATAGTTATAAATTACAAAAAATCCTCTGTTGAATCCCATCTCAAATTGGAGAGTTTTTCTGCACACTGCATGACGTTCTGAGGAGTTATAACTGGGATATGGGTCATAACCTAATCATATATAACTGTTATATAAGCTAATTCTATGGGTCATATAATATAAGAATTGCTTATATCACAGTTTATATATCCCAGTTATATCCCAGTTTATATATTATAATTCATATATGGCTTATATGGCTATGAATCAATACCTTTTAATACCAATTTTAGAGGGATGAACATCCATTTACCAGCTATTTTGATGTTCACCAGGGGTACAAGGTTTTGACCCATCCCCATATGGGTTATATAGGGTTATATAATATGGGAAATAACTGGGATATATAACTGTAACTCTTGCAGCCCAAAATCCAACTTGGCACCCAAAAAAAATTGGGTCTGGAAGATGGTAGCCCCTCCCATGGGTTTAACATAAACCATCATAAACCATCATAAACCATCATAAACCCTAGTTATCTCTAGTTTCTACCGTGCGGCACCGTCCTGTGTCCACCGTCCTGCGCCAGGTGGAGATTCATCTCATCGCCGTCGAAGTCCGCGTTGTAGGGCGACGTCACGGCCTTAACTGGGTAAACTATGTACAATGGTACTATTGTATACTAAAAAACAATATAACAATAAAACAATATACTATACTAGATACTATACTATATATAGTATATAGTATATACTATATACTATACTATGTTATATACTGTGTTATATAACAATACTATTATGTTATTATACTATTGTACATTGTATTAGTTCAATATACTATTGATAGAACTTTATTATGTACTGAATACACATTATATATCATTGATAATCATGTATCTGGGTGATAATCAATAATTCATTGACATGAAAAGTGCTGATATGTTTTTGATCGGGTTTTTGGTCATTTTTCAGGTACATTCTCCCACAAAACCCCACTAAGATTCTACTGATCATTGGAGCGTGGAAGATATTTAATCAGGATTTAATCCATAGTTGGTCATACTCATTCATTTTTTTTGGAGATAGAATCTACCCATGAACATGGCAATTGAACCCCAAAGAAAGGTGCTCCTTTTGGCTTCAACAGCTGCGGCTGTTACCATCCGGCTGGTGCCGAGTGCCGAACCAAGTTGAATCTCAACGTGGAGAAGGGCATGACCTTCCCAGCAGTGTTGTCCGATGAGCGTTGTAAGAGGTCACCTCTATGGGATGTTTTACATCACATATGACATAAAAATCAAGGGGACAAGTCCATTGACATAGTACTTTACTGGAGCGTAAGCCTCAAGAATTGGGATGGTCTTAGGAACCGTTAAATCGAAGCAGGAGAATACGTGGGTGCTTGGGTTTCTACACGGAAGTCGACTCTCATTGCTATCCACCGCTCCATTGCAACAATGTCAGTGTTACCAACATTAAAAAACTTGATCTTGCACCTATTACCCTCTGGTAATGACTAACATAGCTATTGAAAATGGCCATTTATAGTGGATCTACCCAGCTAGAAAATGGTGGATCTTTCCATAGTTTTTTGTATGTTTAGAGGGTAAACCTCCATTTTCCTATGGTTTTCCTATGGTTTTCCCATTTTCCCATGGTTTTCCATGGTTTTCCAGAGGGTAAACCTCAGAACATGTCCATCGTTCCCAGTACGCTTTTTGTGGACCCTGTGGACCCATCGCCATAACCTTCGCGCGGTGTCCCATCATGCTCATCTTGTGTAGGGAGGGCTGTCGATTGAAGATCACCTTACCAGGCAGATGTAGCTGAAAAACCACTGGTAAGGTGCCCTGAAAAAAAATGTGCCATCTTTGGTGAATTTCACATCTGAAGATGGTTTGTACTAAACGATATACGCTCTAAACTAAACGTTTACACTTTGCAACTTTGAAGTCAGTTTGCTCATAAAAATCCTTGAGTTACCCTCTGGTAAACATTTACATAGCTATGGAAAGATCCACCATTTTCTAGCTGGGAAAATCCATTATTTCTATGGTCATTTTCAATAGCTATGTTAGTCATTACCAGAGGGCAAATATGTTTTTAATGGGAAAATCCATTATAAATGGGTCATTTGCAATAGCAAACTGTTAATTTACCGGAGGGTACCCAATTGAATGGCTATGTTCATAGAAATCCTTGAGTTACCCAGCTATAACATGGTGATCTTCCATGGTTTTTCTATGTTTTCGTTGGATGTTCCACGGATGTTCCATCCATTTCCCAGGCATTCCATTTCTGATATCTACACCTCGGATCCCCGTGGTCAAGCTCCGAAAAAAATGTGATCTGTTGGGGTTGATGAAAAATAGATATAGTAAGTCTATATTGGAGGTTTAACTTACTTGATCTAATTATGTATATATATATATATATTATTAGATATATATTATTAGATATATATATATATAATCAAAATCAAAATCAAGTTGATAATTACTTATTACTGACCAAAAACATCCGGCATCCTGCATATATTAGCAAACGAGGGGTGTTGGATCGCAAGTTTCCACCACAGAATGGAGGCCTTGAGGCCTTGTAGTCATTTATGACCTTGGCACATTCATCTTCTATAAATGGTACCTGGTACCTCTGTCAAGAAACCCATTAGGATTCTACTCCGAAAAAACAACACCATCTTTTTTTAGGGCCGCACAAATATGGTTGAATATTGCCCAACATATATTCCCATGAAATCGCAATGTATGGATAGTTTTATGCTTATCCCAGCGGTATGCCTCATTGAGATGTCCCAGGTACATAGTCTCCATCGATCATGTGTCGCTCCACACGCCATCCGTACCTTGAAAAGAATGGCTTCCGAAGGGGGTGACTGGCTGACGCAATCTATGTGTGTATGTTAATATATATATACATGATTTGATAGTATATAATATTATATATATAGTGTAATATCTATACGTATATATATATATATGTTATTATAGATGTTCAGGTCTCGTTCGGGAGCCAGCCCGTGAGTCAGTGCGAACGGACACATAGCGCATCACATAGCACACTCACAAAAACCAACAACCAAAAAAACACATCTAAAAAATCCTTAAAAATCCCTGAAGATTCCTAAAGATCCCTAAAGCCTAAAATCCACACTCACTGCATATAGCCGATATAGCCAAGTTTTTTGTTGCCGCTTCCCTGCAAACACTGGAGATGATCACAGCCATTTCCAAATCATGGTCCAAATCATGGTATCCAAAGATTAAACCATATTAAACCATATTAAACCATATTCATGGCATCACGATATTTTTCATGGTGAATTCCAATCCGTATCCCATCCGTATCCCACCACGAAAAATGTAAATCGCGGCGTCGTTTCCGATCAGTTCATCCCAGCTTGGCCAAGTCGCTGCAAATTGATGTTGCTCCGCAGCTTGTCAGACAAGAACCTGCGCAACGCGCGCCGGTTCGGCGCCGGTTCAACTCTGCAGCTATACGGCTATACGATGCTATAATATGCTATATAAGTATATTTGGGATATGGGTCTATCTGAGAATGGCCGACTTGGAGGCATCCTATTTTACAGACAAGAGCATATGGATGTGTCTGAAATCTTTGGGAATAGCCGGAATAGCTGGGCTAATGGTCAACATCTCTGGTAGATATCTTTGGTCAATGGGGGTTATAGACCAACTTATAACTATGTGAGGTGTATATATATATATGGGTTTTGTCTGAAAATATAAGGGAACCCCCAACGTGCAGTGGTTCATCATCCTGTTTCCTCTTAAAAATTGGATTAACAACATAAATCATCTTTGAGACCACCAACTAGTCATATAAACGATACTAAATGGGAATATGATATAATTTGCATATAGATCATATAGTGGGGAGAGCATCAGTGTAGCACTTAACCTCCCAAATCCACTGCTTCAAGGCCCCCAAATTTTCCCTGTTGATGGCCATAGCTGGGTCCCCTGGACCATCATTGATGGCACAACAATGGGGCTCCTCAGCAATGTCCCATCATCTTGTCCGATTCCGAAAAATCAGTTTCCACATCAGATCTAGCAAATCAACTCATCAACTATAACTACTTGGTGGTTTTTCGCCACCCCTCTGAAAAAATGATGGAGTTCGTCAGTTGGGATGATTATTCCATTCCCAATATGATGGGAAAGTCATTCAATCCATTCATGTTCCAAACCACCAACCAGATATATTCTCCCATTATCAACCATTATCAACCATTATTAATCATGATTAACCATGATTAACCAGGATTATCCCATATATTAAAGGAAAATCAACCATATTATCCAACTGATGTTCCTTTCACCTTCACCGCTTAGGACGTTGCCACGGGGCCATGAACAAAACCAACGACTCGTCGCAACGACGCGATACGTGGGCGCCTCAGGTCCACCCGACTCCCATCATCTCGGATGATGTACCTCATGGGGGATGATTTTCAATAGCTTACCGGAGGGTAAGATGGGGGGTTAATGGTGGGAAAGTATGGGGATAATCCTGGGATAATTTTTGTTGGGACATACCCTCTGGTAAACATACAAAAAGCTATGGAAAATGGTGATTTATCGTGGATTTACCCAGCTAGAAAATGGTGTTCCATAGTCATGTAAACGTTTACCAGAGGGTAATCTATGGAAAAATCATCTACTTAGATGGGCCATGGGATTAGCGATTCATGCTTAGTAACTGGGGATTTGTTACCCCAAAAAAAACCCAATGAAATAATCCATTAACTAACTAGTTGTCACTAACTCCATGGCCCATCTAAGTATAAATGGGTGATTTGCAGGGAACACCATCTATAACTGGAGGTTTCTAGTTGGGAAAATCCATGGGACAATTAATCAATGGTGGTTTTTTCCAGCCCGCCTTCATTGATTAAAGCAGGGGAAAACTATAGTAACCCAGTGAAATATGTCCACTGTATTATGGTTAATAATGGTTAATACTGATTAATTATGGTTAATAATTGTTAATATATAATGGTTAATAATGGTTAATAATGGTGACAATTTCATAGACTTGGTGTTTCAGAATCTTGGAAACCTTACTGATGCCAAGTTAATAAGTTAATTGGTTAGGGCACGTCCCAAACCCTTCAATGCCCATTGACAAAAAGACCACTCAATCAGGAATTTTGAATCTGTATAACATAGTGTGTGATGCAAGACAGTTCCCATGGTGTTTCGAAGAACTTGTTTTTCATGTGTATTCTATGATGTTTACATGCATGTTACTTGCCAACTTCTACATTACTCGCTCAACGTACCCTTCAAAAACATAGATATGAACTCTTTCTCTGTCAAAATGGTCCAAACAAAGTCAAAATGGTCCAAACAAAGTTAAACAAAGCCCAAATAAACTCATTCACCAGCAAAACATGCGTTTTTTTCCTACCCAGCTTGACTTGAGATCTTGGATGACCATCTTTATCGCTTGGTAGGCTTTCACCCATCCCTGGAAACTCATCCCATCACTTACGATCTTTCCAAAGCCAGGTCTGACGGGGTCTGAATCGTGACATTTCGCACATTTCGCACACTGATGTCGAACATACCCTCTGGTAATTTAACATATAGCTATTGAAAGATCCACCATTATTTTATGGGAAAATCCACTATGTCTATGGTCATTTTCAATAGCTATTTTGACATAACCAGAGGGTATTGTTCGCGGGTGAGTATCTGTGAGTCATGGGATGTCCCAAAGTTGAGAAGCACCAGTTTTTAAGGCTTGCGGAGACGATCGCAACAAAATCCAACAGTTTTCAAGCCAAAGTAACTGGAACATTGGGAAACCATGTCACATGCGACCTTTGTTTCCGATTTGTTTCCGGAAAATGTGTTCTTCAGATTCACTATCTCGAAAGTTCGTTGGGAAATGGCTAACAACTTTTGGAACGCACCCCACTTAGAATGGGCTCATTGACCCAATCTTTCCTTCACAAGGTCACAAGGTGTCCATGGCTGCAAAAAAGGGGACTGCCTATTCCGTCTTCGTTCAAGGATGCACTGACAGTGGTGCATCGACAGTTATTTCTGTTGGTTTATGTTATCCCATTGACTAGTTATGTATCTACATATATATATTATATTATAGATGTTTATCATAAACCCAACAGAAATTGGAGTTATTTCAGCACCAAGGTCCTCAAATTAGCATGATGCATTAATCATTAGATATCACTAGATCCGTCTGTGGGAATCTGTGGGTGAGTTGGATGCCAGATTGTGTCTAGTTTGTTTCGAGGTATGTAGCTTCTCACTATGAATAGCAAAATTGGTAGCAAATGGATCTCCCTGGAAAAATGATGCCATATAATATCACATTCACTTATCCTCATCTACATCCACCAGTAATTCATCCACCGAAAAAGGACATCTATGAGCATGACCCGTAATGACCAACCAAAAGATTTGATGACTGCAAGGGTACCATGGTCCAAAAAATGACATGGGGCCCTTATAGGCGCATTGTCTCTGGAGACACATCTTATACTCATCCCTTCCTCCCATATTCAACACCGGGTCACCATGGTGGATGTAGGGAATTGCATGGAATTGCCACATGATGAAATGGGGCTGTGGATGATATGGTTATGGGATTTTTCTGTGTTTCACACCCCAATCTTGGGCGCTTCCCAAGATTTCCCAAGACCTTGACTTCATCTTCACTCACCACTTGTCCCGTCCCCCGTTCCCAAAAGGCAGTTCCGTCTTCACTGGCGACGCTAGTGGCTCTTGGCGAGGTGGTGACAGAAAAGTGCATTGCGCGTGGCGAAGTTTTTTCCACACCTGCCTTGGCCAAGCGAAACCGTCCCAAAAAGGGGAACTCCTAGCGATGTCTGACAGCTCAGCCTTGGTTAACTGTTGGGCTTATGGAGGATACAACATGATACAACTATAGTTCATGTACCGACTTATCACTGAGGGACCTCACCTTGTACTCAACCATTGAAACTCGTTTCAGCCATGATGTAGAATGGTGAATATGACTGTTACCCACGAATCAGTTGGCTTTTCCATGCCCCTGAGCCATCTAAATTCTTAGCTAAGGGGGGAAGACATTACCACAATGGCTAGGTCTCATCTGCTCCGATCACTCAGAATCACTAACATAACTTCCACAGGCATGCATTTGCAAAATCACTGACACATCATGCACATATCTCCATGTGTGTTGCTTAATTCATGCACTTTGATATGTTTTGCTGGATGGTGATAGAATGTCCTGAAGCCATTTTTTTTAACAGTCCCCAAAATCACCATAAATGGGTGCTACAATAACCATACCCACATGATACCTGATATTTTCTTAGTTGGCTTTACCAGAGTAGCAACTCAGTAGATATATAACTCAACCAGCTTTAACCCAGCCCAAATCACCATTTCTAGGTGACCAGTTTTATTCTGTGAGATGAATCCACCGGATCACAGTGACATGTCACAGCATGTTGTATCACCATCAGTTGCCCCGAAGCGACAGCTGTTGGTTCTTTGTATCAATAGAATCCGGCAGATTCAGATCTCATTGATTTCAGTCCCCATCCTGAAACTGTATCCACCTCCTCATCCGACACCGAGTTAAGTAAGGAATTGTGTTGATCCGATCTATGGACACAGATTCTAGGAATGAAAGCAACGACATGTAACGTTCAGGTGCCATTAGGTTTTGATCCCCGATGCTGTAACGTGTGTGAATTCATTCTTGAATCTGTGTCCAGACCAGACATATTGACAGATTTCAAATGGTGAAGTGCCAGAGGACGGAGATGTGAAATGCACACATGTTTCTCATCACATGTGTAATTTGATCTTGATCGGTTCGGCCCTGAGCCTCACCATACAATCACCCTTTGGACGATTTGCGCATAGCTGAGAATGCAGTTTACCTCCATTTGTGTCAACGCATTTCATCACTCGAGTTGAGCTCAGTTTTTCCCCTGAAAGGTTGTCACAAGTCCGGTGAAGACAATCAAAGTTTTTATTTCTTACTTGAAAGATGGATTTGGGAGCCGTTTCCACGCCTCGGAACTGAGAAAGTTTGGATTCTGAATCCTAGGATTGTGTTTAAAATCAGACCAAACCTCAACAAACTCATTTGAATGTTTTCCGTTTGTTTCAGTTTGGGAGCAGTGGAGACGATTCGGTTTGGAAGGCTACACAACGTGTTTTTGGCCTCATGTTTTTTTTTCCCACGGAGTAGGCGCATAAGTGAACTGAAGAAGTGGGCTGCATGCCAAATTGTTTGGCTCAAGCTCGAGCTGCAACAGAGACATCTGTAAGCAATCTGTGACTGTCTGTGACTGGTGCTCTCGCCTCGACGTTTGACGCCATTCGAATTTCAGCGACAGACTGTTATTAAAGGCAGAGAAAAGTGCGGCATTTTTTTTTGAAGAGCTTCTATCTGAAGAAAGAAGGTTGAAGGATTCTTGAGAAATTTTGCCGTACCTGCTCTCTACTGGGTGTAGAGTTTTCGCATGGTAGCGGAGCCCTGCGGGGCGTCCGACTACAGCAAGTAGCGCTATCAGTGACGCTTAGCTACCAGATCTCTTGACAGGGAACTTTGGGTACTGACAGTGTATGAGTTTTGAAGCGAGGCGTAGAGAGCGTCCGTTCTGGCTTGAAGGAGGATTTGCAGATAATCTTCGTATGTCAGGTGCTTTGCCCAACAGTGAAGGTTCAGGATCAGTGTTCTTGACACCTACAGAAGCTCCAAGCGTGATGGTACCTGAGGAGTTGCCACCACATCCGACCGGAACACCGAAAGCACTTGGACCAAAGGTGGGTAGTAGTAGTGGCTCACCACCTAAAGCCAGTAGTGTGCCTCCATCACCGCCGAAAGCAACCTCTGGGCGAGCTACGCCAGAGGCGTCTCCAGGTCAGACATCGCCGCAGGCGATTCCTGAACCAGTTCGACAAGATCCTGCTGCCTCTGAAGGAACCAAGTTGTTGGTTGAGCGATTGGTTTCTGAGATCCTTAAAGGATTGCAGACAGATCCTGCGACAGGGGAACTTCGAGTAAGCAGTGATGGATTGACACAGCAGATCACGACAGCGTTTCAAAGCCTTTGGGTTAACCCTGCAGCTTCTTCTTCAATGAGTTCAAGCCCGCCAGTTGTAGCTGGCAACCCCGTGACTTCGCCACCAGTCAGTAACGTACCAGCGGTTGGTGCCCAAACCGTTTCTGATCCCGCTCATGCGTTGGTAGAAGTAAGTAAGAACATGGTAGAAATGATGAAGATGCAGCAGCAACAGTTCCAAAGTTTTCAGCAGACCGTTTTGCAATTTCATCAGCAGGCTGCGTCTCAACAAGCAGCAAGTGTTCCGAGTCAGCCTGTTGTAGCAGGGACGTTTCAGCGAGTGCCACCGCCACCACCTTCAGGGGAAGATGAGAACAAAGGTGCTTTTAGGACACTTGACAGCAAGTTGATTCCGTCCATGCCCATGCCAGATGTTGGAAAATGGAGTAACCGTCCTGCCGAAATCCTTGGTTTTTGCCATTGGATTGAACAGTTAACAGCATGGCTTTCCACTTTGCAACCTGCTTTTAGTAGTGAAATTGCACAAGTGCTTAGCATGAGACTGCCAGTTCATGAGAGCAATCCTACTTCACTCAGCAGCGCGGAACGAGAAAGAAGCACTAGGTTGTTTTATGTGTTGAAACAAGCTTTAGGAGCGTCGTCACGTTGCTCAGCACTCATCCGTTGTTTCGAGAGCAGTGTAGGAAGTGGCACTACCTATGGGTATTCGTTGTTGCAGCGACTCAAGGAGGAGTTTTCCATCACTACGAGAGGTGAAGGACTTCATTTTCGAAGCCAGTTGCTTGCGTACCGAGTTCGCGGAAATGTGAGTCTGAAGGACTTCATTTTTTCACTGGATTCTGAGTTCTATAGCTATGAGAAGGTTTTATCCACTTGTAATGATTTGGACTTGGTACATGAATTGCGGGTTGGTGCCCCTGACAAGTATCGATGGTTGATTCTTAACCTTGAGACATTTCCCAATTGTTTGAACTATGTGAGTTTGCATTGCGCCGAAACTTGCGAGAGTGCACGCCAGGGATGTTTAGATTTCTACCAGAGAACCGTGTTGAACAGCCAAGATTTCAAGACAGTGAATCCAACATTGTCGCCGTTTGGACAGCAACAAGATCATGGTAATTCATCAGATAACAAGTCTGGAGACAAGAAAGATTTAGTATGTTTTAAGTGCGGAAAGAAAGGGCATTTTGCACGGCATTGTCGTAGTGCCTCTCCAGCCAATAGCAATGGAAGCAGGTCATCAGGTCAGCATAAGTCTGGTGACAATCCATCAAAGGGTTCAAACAAGACTGAGGGTAAAAGAGGTGCTAAGGGTAAGCCTTCAAAGGGAAAAGGATCCGGCAAGGGTTCTTCCGCTAAGAAGCCCCAGGGAAAGTTCCAAGCCCGTCCAAAGGGCTACCGAGCCGCTGAGTTGAATGAGGAAGGTGAAGAGCAAACTGAAGGAGAACAGGAGCCTGATGAGGAGGCAGAGCAGCAAGAAGAGTGGTCGGAAGCCGGTGAGACTGAATCTGAGTTGCGTTTGAGTGCCTTTATCCCTGTTGGTGCAGAGATTTCGTCAGGTCGTGCCGTCGGTTCTTCAGATTTGCCTCTTTTGTCCACCAATGCGCCGAGTTTGCCAGCGGTCAATCCATCCTTAGTTTACTGGAAGAGTTGCAAGCCGAGAGTTTTTGACCCTATGGCATCCCAAAGCATTCCAGTTTCGAACAGTTTTTCGGTCTTGGAGGAAGTTTCAGAAACTGAGTCGCTGATTACTATCAGTGAAGCTGGATTGGAGATCTCAGATGATGAAGAAGATTTAGATCTTCGTTTCGCACTAGCTCTTTCAAAAGTCGAAGCTTTGACAGCAGTAAGTAACAACCAACACACACCTGCAGCCAGTTTTTGCAATGGGAATTCCACTTTTGATGCGTGGCTTCCGGATCCCCAGTCAGTCGATGTTGACTGCGAAGTGAGCGCAAACTTTTTGAGCGACCGCAGCCGCGTTCCGAATTTTGACGAACATGTTGGCTTTGAATTGACGAGTCCACAGTCGTCACACTTGCCTTTCACTTCACTGGATCATGCAACCTTATCACATGACTCTTTAGAATCTTTAGAAGAGATGCCACAGCTTTTGGATTCCGATGTTGTAGAGCCCAATTTGAACTCCGTACATGGTGTTGATCGACCGTTTGCATGTCATGTCCCACTGCCTGCGTTTTTCAGGTGCCCACGACCAACTTCATCTTCAGATGATATCCCAAGTGTTGCGAGCTCTGCCAGAGATGCTGCACACCACTCGTCAAATGAGACATCATTTGGACTTGCAGCCATTCTGGAAGAGATCAGCTTGAAGCAATCTGGAAACCAGTTTTCATCGGTTTTGGTGCCTTGTAAAATTGCTTTTCAACAGTTTGCAGATTGTTCCCATCGTTTTTCAGAGCTTTGTGACATCTTCACTGGTGTGGACCTCAATACGACAGTCATTCAGTTGAACGGTTGTGGACAACATGAGATTTCGAACATGGAGCATGAGGAAGAATCGTGTTTCATGCCTGTGTTTGATTTGCGTCAGCAGTGCCACCGTTTTGAACAGATGCGACATGCAGTTTTCGATGTTTTCTCCGTTTTCAACTGGAATTTCACCTGCAGAGATATTCAGAACATGTTCACAGAGTGTTGCATGGATGGCGTTTTTCCACTAAATCGGCAGAGAAAGCCTTTGAAGTGCCGACCTCAATTCATTTGTAGCCGTGTGGACATGCAGGCCAACCCA